CGGTAACGTCAAATAGTTATTGTTTTTTCTTCCTAGCATTCTCCTTCTCTTCAACAATTGGACCAATGAATTATTAGCACTATGTGGCGGTTCCACGATCGCATTTCAACGATCTAGTGGTCAGCGAAGTCGGAAGTTTTTTGATACGGTAGACCAGGGTGGTTCAAACCCTGTCATGCCGATACATTCCGTGTGGACCACGGACCAATAGCGTATATTTGTATCTAATAGCAGAACGTTTTTGAGTTTTTTTAGCTATTCCAACTGGGGTTGGGATCCCGTGATGCAAACCCTTTTTTGTGCCTTTTTGCTTTGTGCCTTTATTTTAGTAAAAACACTCCTCTGTTTTCAAGCGTGGGCCATGTGACAGTCACTATAGTGACGAAGCACAGAGCCGACTTAACGCCGCGCAATCCAGTTTTTTTTAGCTAGGTCCCGAAGGTCCCGAAATACCAACTTAGACGGACGTGGTTGTTATTTGACGATGGCACTATGCTTGCTCACGCTGCAAGTTTTTAAATTACTCAAATATAACAATTCGTAATAAAATGAGTCACAAGAAAGGTAACATAAGAAAACACGGCGGAAACGTATTTCCTTGCCCATCACATAGTGTCTGGTTTGATTTCAAGTAATATCTGCCACGAAAGAATATAATTTGAAGCGACATTAAACGCGAGATGCAGAAAATACAACGGTAATTAATTTTTTTAAATAACTGAAGGCTTTATATATCTTCTTTAAAAGAACGCCACCCATGCAACATAATAATAGTCTGATTAGAACGGTAAACTCTCGTTGTTTACTAAATGTAAAGTAAGTAAACTTGCGATATTTCGATCACTTTTGGGTTTTCTCCAACTTGCGGCCCGCGAGACCTCCTCAAAAGTTTTTTAACCACCCTGAGGTAGACTACTAGGTACCGGTAAAATTTCAAACTACTGTTGTGACTTGTATCCTTTGGTATTTCGATTCACATGTGAATGCATTGAGACTGGAGGCATGAATCTTTATTGTCACACTTCCTCCGGATTAGAGCTCAACCGATATATCAACCCGATATTGCGTGTTTGCCGATATATGATATCGGCAGTAAACGGCCGATATATATATATATATATATATCGGCTATATATGCCAGTTAAAAAACCTAAAAATGTTCGTAATAGTTGTTTTATTTACTGTTGATTGTGATTATTTTTAATGGATAATGCACTTATATGTGGTTTAGTATTTTTTAAAATTAAATTACACATAAGGGGGCACCAAAGTCTTCAGTGCTTAGGGCACCAAAGGGGCATAATCCGCCCCTGCCTATCACCTATAGCAGAGGTTCTCAAACTTTCGATGTTGCGGAGCCCTTGAAAGGTTGAATATTATTCACGGAGCCCCAAAATAAATGTTAAAATTGTTCCTTTCATATTAATATTCCTGAGCAAGTTAAAAGTCATTTACCTATTTCAAAATGCTGAACCTTTTTTAATAGGGTTGACACAAGTTATAAATAAATCTAAATTTTATACTAAAGCTGTTCTCCCTAAATCAAAAATTTCCCTCGGAATATGAATGTATTGTTATACACAATGACGACGTTAATTGCTTTTTTGTTCTCGTGGGGAATTATGAGTTCAATGTGAAAAACATGTTACCATATTATAGTCATCGGCGACGAAATGCTAAAAATAATAATCAATAAAGAGGTAAATCCACAACCCAAATTTCTTGATTGAAAAACGGCATTCTAAATTATTAAAACTGATACTTAAAATGGAAGATCACACGTTTGGTTTCAGCAGACTCACCTCAGATTGAAAACGCTTTTACAGACATTGTAAATCACAAAATTTGTTGTTATGTTAGGTTTTCATCGTAGTAACTGCGAAATCTAAACACAGTCAATTGTGCGCGCGATGTACCTTTTTTTTCATTCCGAAACTACCGACGCAGCCGCACGCAATCAATTGTGCGCGCGATCGGCGATGTACCTTTTTTTCATTCTGAAACTACCGACGGAGCTGATTGCAATAAAATAATTTCTATTGTTCGTATTTTGCCCAGACATTGTGATTTTTTAAACGGCGATACCTTGCTTAAAAATAATCTCAAGTGCGAAAGAACAAATCAAGTTTGACAAATCCCAATATCGCAAAAATACGACCCCAATTTATTTGTAGTTGGCATTTTATCACATATTTTATGTTTTTTTAGAATAGTATTCTTTCATTTTAGTAATCCTAATAGTAATCTCGAATCAAACGTGAGTAACGATGAGCACAATTACATTATAACGACGAGACACGTTAAATGCTCCATCGGTCATGGAGTGAATATTTTAAGCAACAGAAATCTCGTATTCCTTTTTTTTAATCGCGAAGAATGTTGCGCAGAAATTTCCGATTCCAATTTTGAACCACCTCCCTCTTACGAATCCTGGCTGCGCTACTGCTTATAAATAATGTCATTTTTAAATTCCGCCTCTTTGCCATATTGCGAGGCTATATTGTTGTCAGATTTTATCAAATCTGTTATTGCTTCTTCGAACAGTTACAAAATTAGTCAGTATTTTGAAGAGTAATCGAATAGCTCGCGGAGCCCCTGGGTTTCTTTCGCGGAGCCCAGAGGCTCCGTACGGAGCACTTTGAGAACCTATGACCTATAGTACTGCATTTAAATCAGTTGAGTTGATGTCACGAATTGTACAAAAACGTTATTAATAATTAACTATAATATATGAAACTCAGAACAAGGCTTGGTCATGTATGGATACTACTCGAGGATCACAATTTACCAAACACTCATAGGAAAACACACATAACAAACGTGGGGCTTTCCTAATCAGATGTCACAATACCTAGCGTATGACTTATATTCGTTTCTCATAATGACGCGATACGCAGCGTCGCAGGTCACGAGTGTAGAATGAATGAATAACTTGATACTATCTAAACAAGATATCATTATAACTGCTGTATGTTGCCCGCTTTAGTACAGGGAAATAACAATATGTGATTGGGGTCATATAGCGAGAAATATGAGCTGGTAGTAAGTCAGGCCTGGTTTATGAAATTGAACAAGGTACAAGAATATATTGTGTGTAATGATTCGGTAACACGGACATTATTCTGAAGGTGTACGGTATGTGATAGATAAAATGAATGATTAACCGTGTACTGTGTAAACAAGTACCATTATTAACTGTTGTCTGTTGCCGATTTTGAAGAGCCATACGTATCGACCAACATCATAGGTTGCCATTTAGTACTGAGAAACGACAATCAGTGATTGGGATGGGACTAGTGAGGAAAGTAATTTGGTGGTAAATTGAAGCCCGATTCAATAAATGGATATCTTGTATGTGGACGCGGACATGAGTTGATAGAACATTCTAAAGGTATATATATATATATGTGTGATAGAAAATATGGTGGTCACATCTGTTTCGGTATAAATAATTGAGGTGGAGCTTCATTATAGAGTACGAGGTAGATTGATTTGTACACTAAGATTTATTTTCCTCTACAATACCCACCATAAAACAATCAATGCATATACGTTTCGTCAGAGAAATTATTTCTCTTTTTGATGCATTTGCAAACCTAGTTGAATTTTGTCAGAAATAGGATATTGAGTCGAGCCAGACAGTAATGAAGATTGAATTAAAAAAAATTCTTTTTCAAATGGTTTTCTACTTTTTTAAATGCTTTGAATTTTGAAATTAGAATCATGATTATTAGAAGTCGGCTTCCCCATAGGAACACCTACATATTGGTGAGTGATCCCTTCTGGGTGATATAACATGCGAGGACACCTGAGCATTGGAGAATGGGCACAACTTTCCCAATGATCGTGCCGATGTGCCAGGATTGTTTAATTGGTTACCAAATGGTTGGCAGTTTTTCATATGATCAGGCCGACTTATCGCACATACACCAGCCCGTAAACAAAAATATATTTTGACGGAAAGGAGCAAGTAGGCTATCCGCTTTACAGAAGAGCACATGCATCACAGCCATTAATGCGCACTGCCCCTATTAGTGATGGCAAAACAAAATTATCGCCCGAACAAAAGACGGAAGCTAGTATGCTCTGCTCGAGGCTGTCATAAACGAGCACGGGAAGAAGGATAATAGAAGTAATTCTTCATATGGGAATGCTTTCATTATTTAGATTGTATAATAATATATTGTACTGTCACAGTAAGATGTATTGAATTAGACAGGTTGAGTGAGTACAACAGATCGATAAAATAAGTTATACGAGTACCTTGAGATCAATACGCGATGATAAGTATATAAGCAAATACATTCAAGAGTACTTGAATTACCGGTAACTGTTCTGTTGATTACCATTGTTCTTGGCTAACGTAAAACATGATGTGGTAATAATAAGTACCGAAATGTGTTTCCTAAAAATTTACGCAAGCTGTGATTTATAAATTCCCAGTAGAAAGCACCCAGTCACTATATAGAGTCATAGACAATTCTCAATAATTTACAAATAGTGTATCACGGCGCCAGTCTGGCAATACCAGTGCGGTATTTATGAACGTATTGCATCTTCGCCTCTTCCATGTCAATATAAGAGATGATTAATGGGAATTTACACCGCCTACGTTTGAGTCTTCAACTATAAACAAACCATTATAGAAAGTATGTACTTGAATAGGCAGTTAAAACTATCGCATTTAAAAAATTATACTTGACGTCCATTGAGTCAGTTTTATAACTCAAAAAAGCTACACTGCAAACACGACATAAAAATAGCCCATGCTCCTTCATTTCTCAAAAGAAGTGTATTGGCAACCGGCAACCAGCTGACGTAGCTACAACACCGTTAATCGATCGAGTCATATGTACATCATGTGCATAGTTTCTTCTGAAATGCACAGTTAATCACGTCTCGTATAGAAACTCGAGGTAGATCAGATGTAGTTTGCTCACTGTTTTTAGATTCTGAACAACATAAGGCTTACTCAGATTGCGATTTAACAGTTTGAATGTATAATTAAAATATATTTTCTTTATTCTAGTTGAATATATATTTACATAAACATATCTATGGCTAGCGCACCTCCGCCGTATTCTGCAACGCCTTACCCAGCACCACAGCAGCCATATCCACAGCCTGGGTACCAGCAGCAAACGCCGTACCCACCGCAACAAGGAGCTTATCCTCCACAAGGACCGTACCCACCACCTCAAGGTGGTTACCCCCCGCAGGCATCTTATCCACCCCAGGGATATCCGCAAGCAAATTATATCACTACCGATACCAGACACGGAAAGCCACAAAATGTTGGTAGGTGATGTACAGATGTATAACCCTATATGGATATCACTAAAAGAATTTTTTTCATTTTCAACTTGCGTGCGTTTAATTACGAGCTGTGTTGAGTGACAAATACCTTTGTATCCGAAATAAAATTTCGCTGACGCATTGTGACGTCAGATCACGTGCCTCACTGGCACCTCACGTGCGCATATAAACGAATATATATGCAATTAAATGTTACATATCTGATATATCTATCTTAGTAGTTTTTGTCTGGACAAATTGCACATAGTAGGCAATGTTGAAAATCGTTTTATTTTACAGTAATCGTCCACGAACATGACAACAGACGAAAACAAGATTCAGACGCCGGAGATTGTTTTTTACTTGGATGTTGCGCCGCTGTAATATGTTGCTGTTTAATGGATTAATAAAGTACTGTATAAGACTCCGCACAGCGTCAAAAATTTGCACATTTGAATTCCACGCATGTATGCTAAATACAACATGTTAAAACCGAGAGTGCCGAAAGCTTGCAATTCGTTTTCATCAATCATCATCTGAAGGTTTTAACATTACTAATAAATAGAATACCGTGTTTCCCCGAAAATAAGACCTACCCCGAAAATAATACCTAGTCAATAACGCGAAATTTGGCCTAGTCGACAGCAAGAAATCTCTTCTACACGTTTTGAATGATTAATAATCTATGTTTAATAGTTATTTTAAATAAAAACGTGTTATTTACAAGTGAATGGATATCGGTTTTCATATTCCGCATATTTGAAAATCTCTCGTAATTCTCCACTTTGTAATTTTGTTTTTGATAAATAAAAATATAAGACATCCCCCGAAAATAAGCCCTAGTGTTATTTTTCGTAGGAAAATTGAAATAAGACTCAGTCTTATTTTCGGAGAAACACGATAACATGAATCATCAGTGTAGCCTCATTTGAACGAACAGTTTTGCGCTTGGCAATTAGTGTTGAGAACTTTAGCCTGATTTTTATGATGCACAAGTTGCTTAACCCCTCCAATTGAATAACTGTTTGAGGAATTTATCATCGACTTGACCCTTTTAGGTCTGCGTATTATTTGTTTTAGCGTAGGATTAATATCAACTTATGCAATGTGATTGTCTATAACTTGGGCTCTTAATTATGACAATAATCGTCAGGATATATTTATTAGTCATGAGAGTACATCTTACTATTGTGTATTGATAATAATGTTCTTTTACTTTAGCATTGTTACTCATTCATATGTATATATTACTTGTGTGAATAATTGTGGTGTTGTAGTTTGATAATGAAAGTTTTTTTTTGTAATTTTGTTGTATTCCACTGACTCCAGATGTATAAGTATGAAATGAGCTACCCAGTGATGAATGATGAGAACTCTCTTGTCTTGTTTTGGTTCTGAATTCGAACTGTACAGCATTCAAATGCATGTGAGATCGCCTTCTAGAGGCATTGATGTAACGCTAGGACTTCTAGTAAATGAACAGAAAGACCACAAAACATATATATAGTATTCGTAACATATTATACATCGTAAAATTAGTAGGGACGCATAGAAGAAGTTTTCTCAGACCTCGGTGAATGACACAATATCATGTTTACTAATGTGGATCGGTGTGTACCAGTGGGCAGTGGCCGAGGGCAAGGGGCCATTGGACTTGCCAACCCTACGACTAAACATGTACAATGACGTCAGGTTATCTGGCACTTTGGAATTATATTCCAGTCTTAATCTTATATTTAAATACAGGTTATTACAAAATATACTTGCTTGTCGAAAATATTCATTCATAGAAATAACTTACGGCGTAAAGGTTCTCTAATCAATCTGCAATATTTAGCCGTTCTTTTACAAAAATTTTGTCTACTGCTGTGCGCGGAGATTCGATGTTCATGACTTGTTTTCGTTCAACATGTGTCTCAATCTAAATCACACACATAGCACCCTCATATCTTCATTCTATCACATTCTCGAACAATTTATGCGCGTTAATCATTAATATTACAGAGAAATGAAGGGTCATTAATTATGAGGCGAGAAAGAGTTCTATAATAATCCTATGCGCGGGCCTCCACATCAGCAACGCCATTATCATGACTGTTCATCGTCGGTGAATGTAAATGGACCTGTACGCAACTGGCCTCTACTTGCATGAGCCATTCTCCAGTTTCAACGTCAATTAGTGGTCAATTACTCCACCACTTATTAGTTAATACACCCATGCGCGAAACCTTCTACAACGAACATACTGACAAAATTTTAGAAGTGATGTACATTTATTACATATTAAACATTAAAAATTCTGGCAACATTGTACAAACTGACTGCATTTTGGACGAAACTGACTTAACTAATGGTGAAATTTACAAAAAATCACTTGTATCTGGGATTGATACAAGCAATTATTGATGGCACATCAATCTATACATAAATCAAATTTATTCTGCGGACAATGATTCTCAATTTAGTTCATTGCAAACTGCCCATCCGACAATAAGTGTGTGAGATAACAAAAAATACAGAAAACAAAATCTGAAAGTGGTCAGACTGTGACTCGTTGCTTTCTTTACCGCATGATCATACTCCTACAACATGGTGAACCACCAAAGAGCATTTTTGTGAGTATTGTTAATGAATTTGGATTCTTCTATTTGAAAGAGTTTGGCTTATTAATACTATACGAGAGAGCAAAACATGCAAAATACACTTTTTTGTGTGGCTTTAGTTTACAAATGGCTAGCGATGAAAAAGCATGAGCCATACAAGAATTTAATTTCTAAATATACATGGTAGTATGCCGGGTCTTCAATTCAATTTAGTGCCCATTAATGGCTAACTCCAGACAAATTGAATTGTCACAATACAGGAAAGGGACATTAATGACAAGTAAGTAATGTTTTCAAAGAATAAATTGGTCATGCACTAATAAAATGGTGAAATTTAATATTTCATATCAAGTATTGAAAATATCAGTGAATTTTTATCATAAAAATTTAGTTCTTCTTATAATTCATTTGCATGAAAGAGAATAAATTCATTGTTGGTAAACTAAACATTACTGTTTTTGAGAAGTCATTATTTTAAACTCCAATTTTTCTTTAGTAGTCGTAAGCCTTCTACCTTAAAATATAATAGTTCCCATATAAAATGGCCGAGTTACATGCACGCTTAAGGTAGTTCATAAACAAATTTGGAGAAATAGAAATTGATTCAAGAATATTTTGAAGACCAAAATTATAATACACAAATTTCTTTATAGAATAAATTATTGCCTTGTTTTACAAATATCTGAGACGCCAGCAACTTATTCTCATTTCTAACTCAGCAAGATTAATAAAAATTTTCCAAGATTGTGAGTGGACATAAGATTGTGTAACAGAACAAAATTAGTTTATCATTGATTTCCTCATTTTGAATTCAATCTTCCACCCCAATAAAAATAGGAAACAATCTTAGCAGAACTAGAGAAGACCGTACAATGAAAGTATGCAACAATACAGAAAACAGGCAAGAAAAAAATAACATTGAAACAATTGCGAGTCTGTACAGAAGATAATATAAATAAAGGCAGAGTTATTTCTATGACACAATACAGAAGCCAAATCCATCGAGATTGAACGAAAGTTGAAAGAAATGACAATTATGACATTCATTTTTGACAAACTTGACTTTACGCAGTACAATTGATGATATAGTATAGTTAAATACAAGATAAAATCAGTCAAATTTGTGAGAGTAAGTAAAAGTATTAAAATATACACAAGTTCTCAAAGGACAGTTATAAAAACATTTCACAATTTTCAATTAGATTACAAAATCGTTTTTTGATATATGTAGTGTTCCACTGTAACAAATATAAGAAAATCTAATATTTAGGACTGTCATGTTATAAAATTACATATTTTATTAAAACCAATTTCTTAATATATTTCACAATAAATTCCATATTTTCCATACTTTTAGCCCTTGTCATTTACAGTAGAAAGTGGTAGTCAGAATAGATGATAAAGCAGTATACTTGCGTTCCAAAGCATCGCTTATTCAGGATTGTCTTTGCAAAATGTGACTACAGGTAAATACAATCCCGATGATAGAAAGATTATATATATAAAGAGAGTTTATTGGTGGTAAAAACTAAAAAACATTTCATTTCATGAAGTAAAGTAAGCACAATGTAGTTCTAAACTTTCCATCCAAAATATGATTAGATGAATTGCTGTAACTGCTTGAAAATGCGCTACTGGCATCATAAAATGGATTAAGTTTAGTTCAAAAATGTGTCACAAATTCTTTGTAGAAAAACTTTTGAAGAGTATATTTCATGCAGTAGGAATATACATTTGAAAAGCATATGCCAATGAAGTAAAATGTACTGGCAAAAAAGCATTTATGAATTTCATTGTTTTTTACGCTAAGCTAAATGGTTCACATGGAATGTCTTTTTAATATGCAGGCCAGAAAAAGCAACATTTCCTTCTCAGTAAATGGACATTGGATATCAATATAAATGGGATTTGATTAATATCAATAGCTGTTTTGCAAGTGTTTTTTTCATTTTTTATCGACAAACATGCCTCTTAAATGTGAAGATAAATCGGAATCTCGTTCCTTCTGCATTTTATGTAGTTTTTTAAGCTCTCTTTTCACATCTTTTTCTAACGTTGGATCAAGTTTGACAACAAGATCGAAATCGGCTCGGCATTCTTTTTCATCCAGTTGAGCAGCATACGCTTTGCCTCGCTTGAAAATGCTTTCAAGTTATTCTGTTAAATACATACATAAAAAATCTAAACAAATCTAAAAAAACAGCATTGCAAAACTGGATAAACGAATTTCAACACATTCTTATAGTTATATTCAATAACCATTTATGATTTGCCAAACATTTTTTATCTTGCGAATTAAGGTAGTGAGCGTACAAAAAAGTAAATTTGATATGCACCATGAAAACATGGAATTCAAAACCATAAAAATCCTTCGCAAGAACCACAATTCTGTCTCTAGTTGATAGCTATAAGCAATCAATCAGGACTTACTTGACCATCAATTTTTTCCAGTACTTCAGTACAATTGGTGATAACTTCTTGATAAAGTCCCATGCAGAGATTACATTGAGCATGATTCAGCAACAATGGAATTTGCTTTTCATCTAATGAGCACCAATCCGGAGTACCGGGTCTCTCCTAAGATAAATATATATTCATATATAACTAAGATATTCATATAACTTGCATAGATTGCTACATGCCGATAAATTGGTAACATTCAAGGCCTTTATGTACAAGTGTGACAATTCCAAAGCAGATTTTCAAGATAGAAGAAACAATTACATAGAAGCCTGTGCGCGTGCACCATTACCTTCATCTGAATGTGTTGAGACAAGCAATGCCATTCGCATATCTTTCCATTGCTTCTTTGTATTTCTTTTCCTTGAATAATTTGTTGCCTTCCTCATGAGCTCTGATAATTCAAAAATAAAATCCAATTTATAGGATTACAATTGGGAATAAACAAATACTAAATCAATTTGATTGCAATAAAGCTGAACAATAAAGTACAGCACAAGTCGTAAAACAAGTCAATAGAGAAAGAACAAGCTCAGTTGTATGAAATGCATCACAAATTTGTTTGTGTCAGGACATAGCAAGTCTTAATTTCTACTGCTAATGTTACTCTGTCTGGTTATTGCAGTAATCAGTTAAATGACCATAATGGCTTCAGTTACGTTCAATTTCAAACCTTGAGGAAGTCAGACCCATTGTGTGCATCCCCAGTTGACATGACTCGATTAACTATGAAATGAGTTATTTTTTCAATATTTTTAAGTTATTTAAACCTTGGGTTTGTAATCTGTTTATACCTATCTCAATTTAATACCCACTACCAGTGTTCACTATTAGCGCACTTTTTTGCGAAAATTGTGAAGCACTTTCGCAACTTTTTTTAGGGACCGCGAAATAGCACTTTTTTCCGATTTTGAAGAGAAATAGCACTTTTTTCGATTTTGAATGGAATAAAAATTCAAAGTTGACAAATGTTTTTGTGTGCGTATTAAGTTGACAATTAAGTAACATACTAGTACTTTTGTAACTCAATTCTGCATATCATAACGATATTTACCGGAATTCTAACCTATGTGGTGAAGACATGGAAGATAAAGCTTTTGCATTAATGGCAAAATTCTTGTTTATAATATGATTATTATACAAGCACACCGATTCCGCTTCGACCGCGAAAACGCTCGGCGGCGTCTTTGAAACCAGATGTCCGAATGCAAGGCAGTGCGTTTCTCTAAACGAGAGTGGTCATGTGACTGTCAATGACATCGATGAATTGTGACCAAAGTACACGATTTTCTAGTACTGGTTTGACAGGTCTGTGTTCTCTTCTTAGTGAATTTACTGGAGCCATTCAGAAATTTCTGATACTCGACACGACATTGTTTAGTAATGGAATGTAAACTTGGGCCATTGTTTGTTAAATTAGAAGAAACTTTTAGCAGCATCTCACAGATTTGCAAAATCGCCAAATTGACAAAATACATACGTCGTATTAACATTTAACAGCCATTTTATTGTAACCACGAATGTTAAAAGCAAATGGCGTTTCGCGGAATTTTGCGATATTCAGTATTAGCTAGTCTAGTCATTCACGATAAATCCTCAGACCAGTCAAAAATCAATCTAAACTATTTCCTCATTAATATGCGAGTAGGGGTGGGCAAAATCGAATATTTTTTCGAATTGAATATTTTTAACGAATAAGGAATATTTTTATGCACAGCAGGAGTCTAGAACGTCGGTCGAAAAATTAGCAAGGAAGCCTTTTCTACTGGTTAATTTCGTTATAATAGCTAATTGTTTTTGTCACCGCAATCGTTTTGGCGACTATATCCTGGGTTTGGCAATCCAGGCTTACGCGTGCGTTCACATCGGCAACAGCTGTTAAGGGCATCAACGACAAATTTCAAAACCAAAATAAACATTTGCGTTGACTTGATATTACCTATCAACGTTTGTAAATTTACTGTCCCAATTTTAAGCGAATGGTATTATTATTATCGATGCCGGAATGCAAATATTTAATACGATAATTAACTTTTATAATTTTTTTATGGTGTCTGTATTAATTTACAGATAAACTCGCAAATCTGAGATTGTGCCAATCCTGAATGTTGATTTAAAATTGTGATTAAATAATTCGGCAATAAAGGCATTTCTGCGTGGCCATAAGACGAGATGACTTTAATAAACAGCACTTCTTTAAGGATATTTTACATATGCGACTAATGCTAAAAACATTGGGCTCGAGTGCTCTGGTGCCTAATCAGGCGCTAATTGCAACTAATTCAACTCAAGTTTCAACGACTTTTTTCGTCTTCACGATATGTTATCTTTTTTTTCGGTACTGATAATGATAAATAAAAAATGTGTAATTGTTGATTGCAATTCCGGAAAACGAACGAATTTAACCGCGGTTAACCGCGCATTGGAAAGCAAAACACAATTTATTAACATTACTTTACAATGAGTTACGGTAAGAATTAACCAGACGGCTATCGCTAACATGTAGAAACAATAAATTTGAAACGATTTTGTATAAAGCGTGTCAACATCGTTTTTGTAAATTTAGAAACGTCGATAAGTAAGACAAGTAAATAATGTATTTTATGGAACTTTCATGAGATATTGGTGAGAAATATTATTTTGACCATGTCGAAATGCCATTATTGCCGATTTATTCACGTGTTTAGTTACTATCAGTGTTTTAACCCAAAGCTGAGTTACGTAAATACTTAACACTGAGTACTCAAGAGATAACCAATTTGCGGAGTTTTTCAATTATTATTTAATACGAAAGTAACACAGACACGATCTAAAATTAAAAGCATAGAAATGTCAACTATCTGCTTCACAAATATCGCATCCCGGGGCAGTAATAATATTATTGTTCGCTTAAACTCGGGACGGTAATTTACGAACTGATACAAATCCTACACAGAAGATAAAAATCAGAACAAAATCAATTTTCGTTGTGAATGCGCTCATTAATAGTTGTCTTTAAAATCTTCGCCGATGTGAATTCACAATTCTATCCGAAATATAAAAACCAAACTACGATGTCCGCCGTTACGTGAGAATTAATATTTGCTAGTGAATAAAACATGCTTTAATATAGTTTAACAACACGATCGCGCGACAAAAAATTTACTGCAGCCTTCGATTATGACAAAATTATGAAATAATCATTGAATGGCAATAAAAATTTAACTTCATTAACAATAATTCAAGTAATAGTTTCACATTTTCATGATTTTGATCGTCGCTACATGCGAGCGTGTTTTGTACATATAAACCATGATGACACTACTGACATCTGCGAGTTATAGATCTCTCCAAATTTAATTTTCGCGATTTTTAATGTTTCATTTCTAGATGCGGATGCCCGCTGACTACGGATAAATGGTCGATGTTTAAAAATAGGACTTCGGACCGTTGGGCAAAGAAAGGCGGCTACACGTAACTGCGAAATTTCGCCGTGAACGACCTTACATTTTAGTTATAAACGCATTACGTCGTCGCGAATTGCAGTTTTGGTGTAATGTTTTAACTTCCCCCTAATCTCCCGTTGAAAAAATCCTGGCTGCGCCCTGCCCGGTGATAATTCTAGCTAAAATGTTACAATTTTATTTACGGAATTTGCAAATTCACCATTTTGATAATCACGCCCTAATTATTGGTGCAAAAATACTCAAAATATCACGAATTTAATCATTTCCGATGTTCTAGGCGCAATTCATGACGCGACAGTGTGCGTTGTTACATCGAAATTCACGATTGATTTTTACGTTATACTCTTTTCACGATTTCAACACTCCACCCGCCATGCATGGCTGAGTGGAAGGTTCACATTTTCGAAACATTACTTGGCCAAGGATGGGAGGGATCACTAACGAGCTAATTGAAAGCACATTAAAAGGATTATGACTTGTCATTTTTTTCTGGTTATAGCCTGTACATGTTATACCATGTGTGGGCTCTCGGAACGTCAATTTAACTTTTAATTTTCGACAATCAATTGTATGTGCGGCTCCTACATGAAACGGCTAATTCATGCTGCCAATATACGGAGTTTGAAATCTGGGATATTTATTTCGAATAGTCTATTTATTTTGACTCTTCTAAAATTAGGAAGCTTTGTTGGTACCTTTTTTGGCGCAAAGTATGAAATTGAAACGATACGAATATTTTGCCCAGTCCTATAGGCGAGGTTATGATATTAAGCAGAGAATATTTGTAAGCATATCACTGGATGGAAATATTTTGCACCAAGACTGTTTGCAGAAGTTGATTTATCGAATACACGGAAAGTATTTATTTATCATCTCACTTGCGAACATCGGGGTTTGGGCGGAATTATACGATTATGTTGTTGTTCTTAAATAATAACTTTTTCGATGAATGTTTATTTTACTTTTGTGTATTAATTATGATATGTTGAGTTTTCGTTTATTTCAAATTCGAAATTGTCCGGAATACTCGAACAGGTGTAATAAGTGTTGATAGTATAGTGTAATCGAGTAACCAACTTAGAAGTCTTTAGAGATGTCTAATGAACTTGATGTGTTACGGGTGTCGTAACCCCCGTTTTTTTTTATTAAATTTGATTGTTCTACCTTCCGCTTATAAAACAACATCGTTATACGGTCATCTAAGGTAACTCTCGCGACCAAATCTTTTTGTTCTGTATGGCATCACCTTAGCGCCATTTATTACCGACTGAATTTTAATTGTGATTTATGATAAGTTATTTTCTGTTAGTTGGCGCTGATAACGTGGCTAATTTCTTTATAAACATTTTTAATATGTTTAATTTTAAAATTTAAAATTTTTTTAAATATGTTCCTTACGTCTCTGCTATAATTGACAAGCGATAGCACAAGATTCAGCAACAAATGATAAGCAAAGCTATTTTATAATCATGGGTTGCTTAATAAAGATTTGCTAATTATGGCAGGATATAAAGAACATGGCCTGAAATATATAATTAACAGAACGATGTTTATTTTTCAGTCGACGAAAACCCTTAATAATAACGATTGCCGAAATCGCGAAAAAAATGAATACGGATTTTCGATTGTGATCAGATGACTGAGAGGGCACATGTTTTTTTCTCTGTTCAAAGCAGATATAAAACGAATACCATGTTGCCGAAAAGCGGTTACGTGTTATCTTTCTTTAGCCAATCAAAATAGTGGTAATGGTATATACAAGAGGTTTCTAAACTTTACAAACTCGGAACGCAATTAATATTAAAATTACAAGTAATGGTGCATGGAAAAACGAATTTGATTTTATTGAAATTGAAACGCACACACATAAGAGTTTTACATTTCATGCACAACTAACCGATGCTACATGTGAGATTTGTGCACATGAACGATTATATATCGCGATTATTTATGTGAGAATGCGTACTTCTCTTTCAACTTTAATTTCCAGGATTTCGGCGTTCACGTGGTCGACTAAAAAAGATTTATCAAATGGATTGGTATTTCGCGTCACACTCAAAATTATTTGGGTTTATTTTTTACATTCATGTTTTTTTCAAGAATCACCCTGTTGTATTTCCTGTACCTTCGCAAAGGAAAACTCTTTGGTGTCATCATTACTATTAGTGTAATTGAAAGTGGCGTTGAGATGCGAATATTTCATACTAGGTCTGCAGCATTAGAGAGAGCGTTATTTATAAATGCTGGAAGTACATGGCATTTCTAAAAAAAATTGCAAATATATGATGTTTTCTACCCGATTTGAACTAACTGGCACGCAAACCAATGCAAGTCGATATTTGAAATTACACGTCTTAGCGTAATCCGTGAGACAGTATAATATAAATTAGGCCAAGCTAGCTCATGAAAGGGATTTCAAAGTGATCTTGCATAATATTTCGGAAAAAAAATCTTCGATAGAAAGTAGGTCACTCTATCTATAAAAACAGCGGTACTTTCATGGTGATCTTGCGTTATTTCCCAAAGAAAAACTGGCCGGAGAAACATGACGTTAACCAATCTCTTAAAAGGGAAGAGGGCGGACTACTTTCAAGCATATTCTTTCGGACGAGGAAGCGTGTTATACTAAAGCGATATTGGTGATGGGGATGTCATTTTGCCCGGGTTTTGTACAAATGATCCCCCTCCCTAGCTATGGCCGGTAGTAACTAATATCTGCATGTATCAATCGGTGTCTGTTAGATGGAAGAAACAAGTTTGCAAGGCTAGTCTGTTCAGGCGGGAGTGCGCTTCGTTACTGACGCTGGTGGTTGATTGCACGAAACTTTTATTCCCGACAAGTGTGCTTATCAGGTGTCCTTTGATGAATTCGCTTGTTTTTAACAAGAGTTTAAACGAAACTTGTTAACGGAAAGACTTCAATTCACAATATTAACGGAAGGAGCGCTTTTTCGAGTATCTATGCTGTTTGAAATGAGTTTAAACGAAAGCTAGGGCACCTAACTAGTTAAAATCAGAAAAAGCACTTTCGCACTTTTTTTTTCGACTGCGAAGCACTTTCGCACTCATAATTTCCTTAGAGTTAACACTGCCCACTACATGGTTTTTATATAAAAAAAAAATGAATAAGCATGCACATAAACATTCTACATTATAGACATTTGTGGTCCATTTCTAAAAAGATAAGAATAATTTGAAAAATTCAATACAGAAAAAAGATCATTTTAGCCATAAATCTTCTTCACTGGCAAGATGCCAAGATTATGTCTGATAAGAAAGAGATAATCAATCAAAAAGCAAAGCTGTGTTTTAAGTATGGCCATGTTTTCATTTGTTTACACAGATCTTGTTTTTCAAAAGGCTAATCAAGTTCATAAGAATAAGAGCTTACATTAACATTCTAGCTATGTATAAACAAATACAGTGAATCGTAAACACATTAAAAATATTAAGAGGTAGAAAAGTTTGATGCATAAATAAACATTGCCTAGAGGTATTTTACCAAAAATTGCTTTGGAAATGTAAACAATTATTTTGACATTTGAACAAATATGTTTATTGTTCACGTTTTTGAAAATTCGAAGTTGTATTGAAAGATTTTATCATCATAGAGTAATGTTCATTAGCTTTACTATAGAAAGTAAAAAATGATGTTTTTTAACTAAGTTGAAAATTTTGATTCATTTTTCAGTTTATAATAACTAGGTTTTTCATTGTTTTTGAATAATTCAGATAATAAAAATTACTATTTGTCTTCAAAATTAAATATTTTTATCAGAGAAAACATGCCACAATTTTGCTGCGAAGTTCACGAGGGTGAATACCATACTCCATAGCTTATAAATAAAATAACAACATAATGAAAAAGTGGAAAACGTATAATCATTGAACAATATACCACTACCTACTTTGGTACAACATCTGCCATTTCATTTCCATCCATCTGCCATAATTCTCTTTGATAATTTCCAAATTCTTCGAACTAAAAATAAAACAAACTCAGTTTATTGCAACCACCAAATAATAGTATCCAGGAAATATATATATATATATATCAATAACAGCTGAATATTGGTATGTTTCGTCTCATGATTAAATGTATTTGGAATTCCAGATCATAAAATATTTTTAGAGGATGTATTCGAAATAGTCCAATATTTGGATATGGCAACATGTTTACAATAATAAAAATAAAATAACATTGTCTGAGTCACCATCGGTTTTGGCCATAACCAGTTCTATTACAAAAATAGAAACACAGACACATTGAATAGGCTACAGTTAAAAAGAATATACTTGATAAAAACAATATCATAGGATTCAAGCAATATAGAAGTAAAAAAGGCGGTAAAATAATATTGCAGAAAAATTGAGATTTTTAGTGGTTTGATTTGATTGAGTGGAATCAATGAATTGCACAGAGAAATTCTAAATAACCAAACTATTATGAATTATGATACAGATGTCGCTGAAGATGACACAACTATGATAACACATTCATAAAAAATAAATCAATTTTCAAGTATTACAATAAGATTATCAGTATGGCTAATCACAATTTTAGACAATATTCTGAAATACCTTACAATTACAAGCTGTTCAATTATCTAAATTCCATCAATAATTACAGGATGAATGGCATACTGATAATTTTAAATGAATAAGTTCCCAGAGGGAATATTATTCAATGACCTGTTAGGTATACTAAAAGTAAAAACTAGAATAAATTGAACTATATTGTATAACATGGAAATAAAATAGGAATGAATGAATAAAAAGGTTACTATCAGCAAAATATAACTCAATATGCTGAATCACTAGAGATTAAGTAAAATCTAAGATAATCCGCAATTGACCTAGAAATAGATTGATGATAGACTGATTAAGATACCAATAATAAATATATCAGTAGAAATACAGAATTAACATACATCTTACGGAAGTTCACAAAATGACCAATTGCCAATAACTGCCAATTTACCTTGAGCAACTCAAATTCAAAATCTAGAGGTCCAGGCTCCTTCTGAAATTTGTCCAGGTCATGATAACCAAGTCCATGATCCAACAAATTCATACCACATGTGTGAGTTGGCTTGACATTCTTGCCTAAATTAGTTTTTAAAATGAAGTAATAAGAATGATCTTTTACCTATGTGATGGAATATAATTTACACAACTAGTCATAGACAGAAAGCTGATAAAGAAAGCAGGTTTATGAAAATGTTTGAAGTGAGCATAACCTAACAAAAATATCAATAATCAGACTCATTCAGTGATAATAAATAATACCTAATATCGGCCTCGAATATTCTTAATATATTCTATACTCGAATATTCTATAATCTTTTATTAAATAGAGTATACAGTAATTACACATATAATAAATTCGATGAATTTTCAATTTGAAGTATCATGGCATATTTCTTCGTAAAAGTTAGAGAGCTGAAAATACGATTTAAAAAAAATGAAACATATAATTAATCAAAGAAAGTAGAACCTTTTGATGATTTGAAATAATAAAAAGTACGGGATCATATTTTTTGACAGTTTGGTAATTCATATCTTATATTGGTAAAACGAAGAGGAAAAGCTATTCAAATAGAAAATATGACAGGAAGCTCCTACAATTTTGAAGTTTATTGTTTGAGGAACATATTACACCGCATGAAAAACATGCAGATATATGTTTCAACTTTGTCTTGATTTTGAACATTCAAAATTTTTCGCTACTGTAGCAGGAAACATGCTATTTTTCTAATTTGTTCGTAATATTCCAAAATCCAGACAAAATAATGTTCTTAAAATCATATATAAATAAAAAGTTGCACAATGACTTGATATACATAAATAATATATCGTCAATGTTTCTTACCCAGATACAAATCTCTCAAACTTTTTGAAGCAGCTGGATATCCGATTACATATTGAATTGGGCATGAAAACACAGCAACTTCACCAACAAGCATAGTTTTGATACATTCTTCCCAGCAATCTAGCTTGAAACTTCTTCCCATGAGAAGTTCAAACGGTTTCCCAAAATTTCTTGAATCATCCAGAACAATTCTGGTCTAAAAACAAATTCAAAAGTGTTACTAAATTGAGTTGTTCTGAAACCCTGCGGTCCGAAAAATAAATTAAGATTGGTTCATACTGGGCCGGTTTATTTAAATTTAAAGAATCCCAACATCTGATCAACAACTAAATATCAAAAACACTAAATTGCATTATTATACATTTATTAAAGCTCCGACACTAGTTTTAGAATTTGAGATAGTCATTATTATGGACTGTGGTATCAAAATTCAGTCAGGCATGAAGAACCAGATAACCCAATTGCCAGGCTCACAAAGTTAAGACCTGGTTTTTGTTATCTATTTACTTAACAAAACAATTATCAAATGCTTACCTTGATGTCATGAGCATTTTGAATGGTCTTGAAATGGAAAGTAGCTTTTCCTTTGTCACTAAAACTTGGTTTGTCACCCTGTACAGCAGATATAACTCTTTTTTTAATTCCTGTTTTTCCAATTGTTTCTACCATAGTAACCATGTTGTTACTGCATGGAGAAAAGTTCGGCATTTAACACCAAACTATGTACGTATAGGTCTTAAAAATAAAATAAACTATATGCAAGACAACAACTGCAAACGAGAGGCAAACGTGCATGATTAGAAAATGTAAAAAAAGACCAAAGTAACTTCATCAGAGTAGTAACGAAAACAATCTGTATTATATATTGTGCATCATCATTTCTAGACCAGCTTTCATACAGAAATTTAAAATTTTCAGATGACAAAATTTACATTTTCGATTAAAAAGTTTGGGTTTCTTTCTTTTGGTAGGCACTTTTTATGCAACTACAGACTATAAAAGCAACAAATTTGTCAACAATACATAACACAACGTACTGATTAAAGTAAAATACTTCATTATGTTAACGCAATTGAACATTTTCCTTTAATAAAGTACCAGTATCACGAAATACGGACCCAAAACCTAATATAATATTAGATATTATTAAGATCATATTGATGCCCATAGCGGTTAGACAAATAGTCTGAGAACCTGAAGACAAACTAGGTTGAATATAATTTTGAGTTGTGTAGGTAACTAAACGTTTTTTCATAAAAAATGAGTAAAAATATGTTTATTCATTGGAACAAAACAGGAGGTAAATTGTTTCACAATGCCGGGAAAATAAATTTTTCAAACAATGATGAAGATTATAAAAAGAGCATTTTCATGATTTGGTACTATTAAATACAAAAGACAAGTGGAACTTGGTATAAAAATCAGTGAAAAAAATACAGAAAGCATGTTCATATCTTATAAATAAATAAAAGTTTGTAAGTTGCTGGAAAAATTCCTAATTGCTAAATTATGATTTCTTTGAAGCTAGATGCTGCGTTATTTGCATTCTTTTATCAGCAGATCTTTCAGCTAAATCATGCAACACATAGCTTGTGAATTCTTCAACTGTTTCAGTTCGTAAAATAGAATGGTTAACTCTTGGAGATTCGGGTCGCCGTCGTAAACTATAACCACCAACCACAAAGCTAGAAGATGGAGGATTTACATTTGAAACGCTGTCATTTAACGTTGAAATAATGCTGCTCTTCCTTTTGGAGCGTTTCATACTTGTTTTAGATTGGTTTTCCGTAATAATATCTCTCAGCGGAGTGGATGAACGTCTGGACGAATTGATGCGAGCGCTTACAGAACGAGATCGAGTACTTCTTGTACTAACTGACATGAAACTTGTGGCAGATGATACATCTGATACATCATTTGTGACCTCCGACTGACGAAAAGTGCAGTCACTCTCTTCTCCTTCCGAATCTTTGACGTTTATGGTCATTTTCGTCAAATTAGATGGACAAATGGTCGTATTTGCATCGGACATGGTTGCATTTGGTTCGTGACGATGAGACAATGTCGCAACTGATCTAATATCAGATTGATGTTTATCCAGAAGCATTTTTTTCCCAATACTTTCATCGAGAATTTCCTCAGTCTTGATAAGATTGATTGAAGCAGATTGAGTTGAATTACCAATTATGTGCACATCATGGATATTTTCTTTGATATAATTCTGCAATTCTAAATTTTGTTGTTTAATTTCATTTAAAAGCGAGTTGTTGATGCGATTGTAATCCTTATATCGACAAACAAGGAGTAGAACTAGAAGAGCAAATCCAGAGATACTTGTCGACAAAGCCACGTTTGTTCATAAATCAATTCAGGTACCATAGCACTGAGTGATCCACTAGCAAAACTTGTATTGCCATCAATAGGATTTACATAGTAATAAGTAATCATACGTTCTGCTGCAGCATTCATCATAAGAATAAGGAACAACCAAACTCTGGCACTGCTAGTTCTGGTTGTAGATGTAAGAATGTATGCCATCAATGTCGAACCAACGTAGAATCCGAATGTGTAAATGCTAGAAAATTCACCAAGGACAGTTTTTTGTAACACTGCGACTCTGTCAAAAACTTCGCTAAAAAGAGCCCGTTGTTCACTTATGATAGCCTTGGTCTCAGCATGAGATCTTTGCACATCCAAAACTGATTTTTCCATCGAATTCTTCAATTTTTCTTCATTTTGTAACAAAATTTCTTGATTTTCTAAAGATTTACTTTGTTGAGCGACCATTTCTTTTGCTACATCTGCACTGTTTTCCAACTGTGTAGCAACCTCTGCAGAATTATCAGCAGACGTGAAATAGTGTTTTCAGTTGCTTCGTGCCATGCTTGATTTTGAAGATGAAAACAAATCTGCTGCGTATGTGTAAAAAATTCAGTATAAGCGTTGAATGCAATATCAGGTATAGCTTCTGAATCTGTGCACGCTGAAATTGGTTTTTCATCAGGACATTCTGGTATATCTCGACCAGAAGCTTGCAAATGACATCGAGCAAAGGCATAAGCAATCCTACGTTGTACCTCATCGGTCAGTTGTCTGCACCCTGCCTGCAGAACACTAAGTGCTTGCATCCAACATTGGCCATAACGCATGTGCTTCGTTTGGTCATATATTTTTTGGAGCTGATTTTTGGCTGCTTCAGAGCTACCAGGTGACTCTACTTCAAGTTTTGAAGCAAGAGTTGTTTGAGAGATGATTAAATGGGCAAATGTTATGACTATATACAAATTCATAATGTACTTCCAAATGGGAAAACTCTTGTAATACAGCTCTTATGTAAACTTAAGATAAAATCAAATTTGACAGAACAAGTATACTTCATAAACAAATAAATATCTGGAAAAAAACAAAGAGAACATTTAATTCCCACACCTCAGAAAATTTGCAAACCTTTTTCTTTTAATGAAAATGAATTTACAAAAACTTCTCATTTTTCCTATTTTTCAAAGTATGAGTAGTGAAAATAGGGACGAACCATACTATTGCTAGATGGGACTGCCAAGCAGCATATGCTACCGTAAAGAATGGATATATCAAAATGCAATAAAAGCATATTATATCATACTGTAGTTATTATGCTTGAATTTATTACGTTGACACTCCTCTATGATGCCACTTTTCTTAAACAGACTTATTTATTTGCAGAGTAGTCTCAAGTCAGCATCTTCCATTATTTTACACAACCTAGTCCTCGTAATATTGTGTTCTGGTGTACATGAAAATTAACAGAAATCCACATAAATCATTCAAGTTATCTTGACATATTTTTATTAGATAATAGTTTTTTTTGTTATTTAGACCTGGGATGTCAAACTCGTGGGTATTCGAGGGCCGCATTGCATGTTGGGAACTGTGCCATGGGCCGCAAACAGTTTTTGATATATTTTGATAATGAATACTTAAAGCTTATTTTTAGATATGTATAGTTTGTGACATATATTGTGATGTAGTTAAACATCAAATAAAGTTTTGTTATTTTCTTAAATTTCTAATGTCATTTGCATATTAATTTATTGCATTTCACTATTATTGCAATTTATTGTATTTATTACAGAAAATCATAAATTTTTATATTCAAACTATTCAAAAGTCGCAAGTTGTGCTGTGCCTGATATATCACACATCTCATCAATTGCTAAGGAAAAATATTCAAAGTCAGCAGAAGCACAATTTATTTGTTCTTTTAAATTTGCAGTCATCTTATCAAATCTAGAAGCAACTGTATTTCTTGTCAACAATAAATCTTTGAAAAGTTTCAACTGTTTTTACAAGGCAATTTTTTATGAAAGCTCCATCAGTATAAGGCATTTCAGAGACTGCAACCAGTTGGCTGAGTTCATATGCTTGTACCGTACCGGTACTGTTGCGTTACAATTTTAATAACACAGTAACAGGAATGGTCAATACTGTAAATTATGTTATCAATGTATCAAGTCAGTGAACATGTAAATAAATTGCAAAAGTTGATACTGTAATATTGGCTCTCAAAGCAAAAATGACGGTGCGGCGCATCATGCTAAGCGTTTGGGACAGTAGGAATACGATCGCCACCGCATTTCTGATAATGATAACCCTTCGTGGGTTCGAATCCCATGCGAGGATGATCATGTGCAAGAGGATTGCTGGACTCCTCCCCGCCGTAGGATGGTTTACGTAACCGCTGGTTGGTTACGGCTGCCTCCACCATCAAGTCCATGCTTCCGAAAACTGGAAAACAAATACCGTAGCCTAACTGGCTAACTAATCCATACCCGACCTGGACTGGTACCGTACGAGAGGCCGTGGTTCACCATATGATTAGGCCGTCTTATATCTTTCCTCTCCCCTGAATAAATATGTAAATCCTATCCCAGTATCCTATTTTTAACAGGCAGACATGAGACAGGCATGCTTTCATGTTAGAGATAACACAGACTGAACAAAATTTTTCCTTATTAGTTGTAAAATATATTAAGCATAACGTTATCAACACTAAAAGTGGAGCCTACCTTCCAATAATTACAAGAACCTGCATTGCAGCATTGACTGGATGTAATCTGGCACTGAACGGGAAAGACGAGGATATTAATTTACTCACTGCCCAACGCCAAGTGCAGTTTTAAGTATTCTGTGGCATCTGCAGCTGCCGCGGCCAAACTCATCAGCCCACAAACCTGTCGAGCTGCCGTTACCGCGGCCAAACCAATTAAAATTTTGCTGCCGTAAACGAGGCAGGTGGGCCGTAAAGACAGGGCTGTCTATTATGGTGACAAATATTGGGTAAGTTGGAACGTTTTTCTTATGGATACAGTTTTGATTGATTTGGGGTTAGGGTTTAAGTAGATATAATTCCACATGATCAATTAAAATCTGGTACATTAATTTGTGAATATACCGTTAATACTGATTACTGAATAGCGCTATAAAACCATGGCAAGAGCTGCCGCGGTTCGTTCGTGGCAGGAGCTGCCATGAAGTGTTAAGAACTGCGCCTCAATAACTCGGCAAATGACGCTTTTTTGCCAAATCTAAATACATTGCCAATTCGTATTCATGAACAGGACATTTTTGGTTTCTCCAAATAAATTATCAGTTTAGTCGACATATTATAAGAGAACCGGTAGGGTCCCCGGCGTTAACGACACTCGAGATTCGAGAAAGCTCGCACAGATTGTTGCTCACTACCGCTCATAGCGGAGCGATGAATTTGAACCAAACGCCTGCAATTAAAAAAAAATGAGCATATTTACAGTTTACACCGTCGCAACTCCCAGCACAAATTGCAGCTGGAATTTCATCATACCACGTATAGTCGGCGGCTGAGTGTCTTAAATTTCTACAGAAGTCAAAAATCCCGAATAGCATTATTCTATGAATGGCAAGTCAAATACGACGGGGCGCTGACATTTCAAGACTAAAAGAAGAATAAATATACATCATCACGAGAGACCTTTTTCCTAACGAACATACCCTTTCCAGAGGCGAAACTACAGAATTAAAAACATACAAATGTCTCATATTTATTAGAATAAGTTTGAATATTAAAACTCTTTGTTATATGTCATTCAAAGTTTTGCAAACTACTCAATGATTTATACAGTTCTCTACACTATCAAATATACACATACTACTTGAATGGTAAATTTCAGTACAAAACTTCAGGAGAAACTAATGAAATACATAACATCATATAAATAATGAGTGATAAATTTACACACTACTCAACAAGAAAAGTGTTAATCACACAATGAAAAATATTGAACTCTACAAGTTTTGGTTACAATTTTAAAAGTCAAGTGACTTCGAAAACTAGCGCGTCCAAACTCGTGAAATTGGTCAAATAAAAAAAACTTGCAATAAAATAAGATCGCTCTATTTGCTTATCAGTTACATATTCATAAAGTTAAACTAACAAGAGTCTGAAATACTAGGGATGTTGACTATCAAATTATGACACTATGATTACACAAACACAGTGCCTCTCTCACAATTTTAACACAATATATAAAATTAGGTCATAAAAGTATTCACAGTCTTATTTGCATTATAGTAATATTCGTAATTCATATTGTTAATCTTGAAACTTAGCATGATATGTTGCAAGCTGCAGTTGTCTTCTTAATCTGTCTGCCTCAATTTCACGAAAATATGCATCTTCATCATCTCTTGCAATCATATCTTGTAAATCACCAATTTCTTTTTCCATCTTCTGCCTCAGTCCACGTTTCATTTGACGAATCAACTGTGAGATGCAAAATGTATGACTGTCATGATCTACTAACTATATTACTGTTATATTTATTGAATCAATAAACGCTCATTAATATGTCAGTTTCATGATGAGCGAGGTGAGAACACACATTTTAATAATATGAGGCATCTATATCAGGGTGGTCCAAGGTTGGCGGGCCGCAAAATCTTTTGAAAATGTTTCTCGGGCCGCAGTCGGAGAAAACCCAAAGGTGATCAAAACAACGCAAATTTACTCACTTTAAATAAATTTAAGAATGGGGTTTTACTGTTCTAATCAGATTTTTTAGGAGGATATAGAAGCCTTTAGTTATTTTAAAATTGCTTGCCGAGAAATAACGTATTTTTGGTATATTCATTTTATCATGTTTGGTTTTGTAATGTCTTAAAATTATAGTCTTTTGTGAAAGATATTACTTGAAAACACACCAGACACTGTGGTTTAACATTGTTATAGGCGAGGAAATGCGTTTCCTCCCAGTTTTCCTCGGTCACCTCTTTTCACACTGATTGTATGATGAATTGTTATATTAGGCTAAGTTTATTAATTGTAGCGTACGCTATTGTTGAAGAACAACCAAGTCCGTTTAAGTTGGGACTCGAGACCCAGCTGAAAAAATAACTGGATCGCGCGGCGCTAAGTCAGCTCCACGGTTCAGCACTGCTGTCAACATAGCCACTGCTCGAAACTAGAGGAGTGTTTTTACTAAAATAAAGGCACAAGACGTCTCTCCAAATGAGGAGTTACTTTGATCGAGCTTAAGGTTCGAAGTTTATTTTGCCGGTACCGGTCACAGGCCGTCATTCCCATATTGGCGCCGTCTTGACGTTTATAGATACAACATTGAAATTCCCTGATTTCAACAAACATTAATCACGACATCGGGATTCAAAAAAGTCCCGCGGGCCGCAGTTTGGACCACCCTGATCTATATTATTGCATTGCATTTGAATCAAGTGCAGTTTTACGTATTTTGTGGCGTCTGAAGGTGCCGCAAGACCATGATAAGAGACGCCGCGGTTCGTTCGTGGCAGGTGCTGCCATGAAGTGGTAAGAACTGAGCCTCATTTGAATTAAAAATTTACAATCACCTTCATTTGAGCTGCATCTCGAACTTTTAAATCATTTCGTTCATTTGCAAGAGTGTCTGCCAAAATATTAAACTGATCTTTGTAATAATTTTCAAGGCTTTGTATTTCATCAAGTTGTCGTTTTTGTTGTTCTTCTCTTTTATCTCTTGCATATTTCCGCAATTCTCTCAATCTTGCTCTCTGGATTGACAAACCATCTTCAAAAAGACGCTTGAATATCTGAACAAAAAAAACAATTGAAGCTTAATTATCAAAGATTGAAGCATCCGGATTTCATAAAAAGAAACATATTATTTTAGAATTAAGACTTCAATTATTTCGAATTAAAAATCAAGCTATGTCGCTGTAAAATCTCAACAAAACCATAATCATAGCATCTTGATATGACAAAGTTGTCGCACATCTAAGGATGGGAAATTCAGAATATCGAAACCAGAGGATTCAAAACCTAGATTTTGTTTCTGCCTGTTTGGCGCCAAGTTTTTTTATTTTGGGTTTCTAATTTATTAATCAGAGACGAGTGGTTTCTCATGCATCGAAATCTTTCTCGTTTGATTATACTTGAGCTTGCTCTCAAAGAACCCGTTCGGTACATCCCCACTTCACTATGGAAATTGCTAAGGCTACAAAAAACAAACCAGTCAAGGCAGTCCTGTTAAAATACCCTTATAAATTAGTAGTTTGGAAACTGAATAAAACAAAAACAAAACTGAATGGAGTCTCATGTTTACCTTTTCTTCCTTGGTTCTCCGCTTCATCATCCTACCTCTCATTTGCAAATGATAATCTCTGAAATCAGAGTGAAATTTAAATAAGAGATATTCTTATTTCGAGTTAAAATAATTCAAGCATTTTTATTCATACAAAAGCGGAATATATTTGAAATGACTTCGAATAAAGAATTAAACATGGTTCTATTCAGCATAATAGCATTGCTAACTAAAACTCAATAAAATTTTTGTCATTACCAAATAGTACAAATTAATGCTAAACGGAATTTTGCACACCATTGACTACTCTTACTTATAATATTTCCTGATCCGAGCTGTCTGTAATCTCCTGTCTCGTAAAATTCTTTGAGCTTCTTTTTGTTTTGCAGCTCGTTCTTTCACATCTCTGAGATGTCTGGTGTGTTCGTGATCTTTTTGCATTATGCTGGTCAGTAACTCATGCTTGAGATGGGCTTCATGTAACTGAAAAAATAAAGTTGTGTGAAGATGTTGTTTGCGTCACTCTATGCAATTGGACAGTTGAGTTAGTTTTCTGCTTATGATATAGTTCTTATTTTTCTGGATGTTTTTCTCTGCATAGTGCATGCAGCCATGCCCCTATTTGATATTTAATAATGCATAATTGGTATATGGTACAGACACTAATGTTAGGTCAAATTCATTTTTTCAGCTCTAGCATTTATGCAATTGATACAAATTCACACTGCAAAGTGGGAATAGTTAGATTAGAGAATAAGAGAAATCCCACTCATTTGCGATAATATTATGAGTGTATTTTGGAAAATTGGAAAACCTTGTTTGACCGTCGTACTGATTATTACCTGCATTTCACCCTGACGCTTCTTGTTTTTATGATCAAATGAAGCTTTTGTAAGATGCTCAATCTGTCGAAATTGTTTGTGCCACATATCATTGAGAGTTGCTGCAGGTAATTCAAGCTGTGGAAATTCTTCGAGTAATTTGGGAAGAAGATCATATTCATTTATTGACTCAATGCCAGCACTGAGTGGTGCAGTAGCTGCGGTATATGGAAGTCGTTCGGGAGCAGATCGCTTGGTCGTAGCTTTGCATTCTGAAAAAAAAATAAAGATATTCAGAATTAAAAAAATGTACAAACATGTGAGAGACTGAGTACAATCAGGGAAAAGTTTTTTTACCGACTGTTACAGGAATTGCGTAAGTTTGCAAATTGTCTAGTTATTCACATTTTTAAAACAGCGATTGTAATATTCCCTGAAAAAAATGCTATCACAGAAGTCCAGAGTAAACTTGAATATTTTGCATGATAAGTTAGTGACGAGTTATGAAGTGGAGTCTTGGATCTAACTATGCTGATGTCACAGGATAAAAATTTTAGGTTCATACTTGAAATTATCTGAATCTACGAAATTTGGAGTAATTTATTCTTTGAAATTTTTTTCAAATTTAAAACGTATTTGATATTCCAGCTGAATAAAAAAATTATCTTGCTTTCCGGGCTCAGCCAACTTTTCAACTTGGCTGCATCAGTCATATTATTTCTCTTCCTCATTGATTTCCGCGGCACTCTTCTTTTGCCTTGTTTTTGTTGTTGAATTGTTTCTTTTACCTTTTTAGTACAAATATAGCCATAAGGCCTATAAGTAATAGTATAATTTATACAAAGTACTAAAACCAGACTAGAGTTTGCTAACTTGTACATATATTTTCACAACAATCATTACTACCTTCTTTTCAGTGTCAGAAACTTTTCTTCTCATCGGATTCAGTTTTTCTTTTTCAGAATCTTGAACTTCATCCAGATGATCTTGATAACTTCTTGCTAGAATCTGAAAGAACCAAAAAAAGTTTATTTTTTTAAATATAAATTTATATTTTTTTGTTTGTTACTTGCCTTGTTTTTCTCTTTTTGTAACGTCTTCTCCTTTTTAAGTAAGTCTCTGAATTGTTTTAGTTCTTTTGCAGTTTTAGTAGAAACTGTATCTTCAAATCGAACATTTTTACGTCTACTTCTGCCTCTTCTGGGCACAAGTGAATCTGCATAAAATGAATTACCAGGATAAAAATGGCAAAATTTTCCAAAATGTTAATAAAATCAGTTAGTTGTCTTCCCGACAAGTAAATTTTGTATCAATATTATCATGCATTTGTATCATATATTTATGATGAATGCGCATCAAGGATTCTAAAAAGCCATTATAAAAATTAATGTTTTACCATCCAAAGATTCTTCTGTAGTTGCTGTGTCATCCGCAAGACTAAAATAAGAAAAAATCTGTCATATAAACTATAAATTCAAAAGATTATTTTATATATTCGAACCCAGTTACCAAATGAGATTGCTAATACGATAACTTGGTTGAGAATGAAAAAAAATTAATTACTCAAGAATGGAGTGTTTATAAAACAGATAAAAAAAATGCTATGAATGTATTCAGTTTACCTTGTATGAAGATCATCACTTGAAGCTGTCAATTCTGGTCTGAGTCTTGAAGATGAAAAATATTCTTGCCTTATTTTCTTCGATTCTTCAACAGTTTTCTGTAAATTATCCAACATTGCTTGCCAATCCTTTTCTTTTCGAGGTGGAAGCATTGTAGGCCTGAGGGTAGAATCACATTTTTGTTTATTATTCTGCACTGTCATAAATTAACAAGTTTTTAATATTTATATAATCCATTCAGAAATTTTTTTTCCTGAATTGATTTGCATTGACTGTTTAATGCAAGATAATAAATTCACCAGACTAGACTATATTAAATCGAACTAAAACTTATTGTACGTCGTCATATCGCTGCCCTAGAACAAGAGTGACTTATGTCCCATTTTGACATTCTGAGAAAATGGACATTAAAGTTTTTTTCGGGGGTTAATTTTCGATAACAATTTTATTTTTCCATAGCTGTATAAAACGTTTAGTCCAATTTAATTGTTGCATTCTTCTGCATTTTTTAGATTATTTTTTTTAATTTTTTTGCGTTCCTTTGTTTATTTTTTTTTACACTGTTTTGGACATAAGTCTCTTTTGCACTAAATAATTTGTTTTTATCCTTGCCGCTGGTGTGACTTGAGGCAACATCATCATATTCATCAATTGCTTAAAACCTAGCAAACATTATTCTATGAAGCCATTTATGATATAAATGATAACAACGTGCATACAAGTAGCGGAGAAGAACTGTATAAACTATTCTGAGCTCTCTAATTCGACAAGGTATCTCTTTTCTATTGTCGTCATTGGTAAAACGCCATCATCGATTACATTTGGTGCCCCATGTTTACAGCTCTAAAGTTTTTTGTCCTAATAGTGAATAGTTCTCTATTAAATTAATGAAATTTATTGTGTTAAAAGAAGCTGATTAACTAGATGAAAAAATCTGAATGAATTTCCACAGCACTTTATCTTTCCTGCATATCTCCCAACAATTGTGATAAATAAGCCTTTTCTAATTATTACTGTTTTTTTTGCAAACAAAAAACTGCAAGCATTAGTTGAACAATTCTAAATAACTTCAAGACTTTTCAAATCAAATTATATCTTCTAAGAAGACCTTTGTTGTTCTATTGAAAATGTCAGCTGCAGGACTCAGCATTAAGAACATAATATCATTCAACTTGGTTCCAACAGAATACCAGATAATTAAATAAGACAACCAGAACAAATGCTCTAGCGAGTGGAAACACCATGTAACAAATGAAATATACTGTAGAATTAACAGAAACGCACTAGGAAAACAAGTTAATAACATAGCTTCGTAATATCGTGCAACCAGGTGAAAATATGGAGAAGCAATTATAATACAGCTCTGCCATGATCGATATCTTGTTTCATGGAAAAATGAGGTGTAAAAACAATATTGGGGGTAGATAGTTGATTTCTGAAATGAACTGACACAAACACGATACAACACCATGGCAGCAACCATATCAAAAATTATAAATGTAGGAACGCAATGAATTATGTGGTGTAAAGAAAAACAGTGATCTCAAGTCAATGAGATGGATGAAACGGTTTTGCATATTTCAATTATTTGTTTCTATTCCACAGTCTTTGCAAAAATTCAATGAATTCCGAATGTATTTTACTACATTCAGTTGCTCGAGGGAACATGTCACATAAGAAACGCCCAACTTTAAAATTGAAATTTGTCTTTCGTGATTATTTCACATCCAGTGCTTCGTAGAAACTGTGGTGCTGAGTTGGGATTAGCTTTTTCGTGCATAACTTCAGCAAATCTTTTTTTTTGTCCGCGTTTATCCCAAGACTTGCAGAGTATAGTTTAGGCAACTTGGAAGGGTCAAAGAACATGTCAATGCTGCTTCTTCTCGTACCTTTTTTGTTAAATCTAACAAGAATGGCAGATTTGTAGTTGACATCATTGTAGCTATATTTGTAGAACATCATGTCTGGTTGGTCTTGGGTGAATTTTATTTGCAATAATTTGGACCAGTATACTTTGTTTGTATCATTGTTCCCATCTGGTTGGTGTTCAAAAATGTCTTTTTTCAAAACATCATTATATTGTGGAAGGGCCTCTGCATTTTTGAAATCAATGAAGTCGTCATGATTTAGCATATTTACTTCCGCTCGCGTTGAAGCAAAGGACATGCGTATAGCAGTCTCCCACTGAGCGGTAGTAAATACTAGTTGATTTTTGGTGTGAGTTTCAATGATTGAGTGTGTTGTGTCATTTTCGTTCTGAGAGTGCCCGGTTATCAAATAGTTCATTGTTATTTCATCCAGCCCAAGAGATCGCATAGCGAAAGACAACATAATCACAACCATCCTGTTGTTGTTTTGACCGGTACAACGATCACTAAAGAAGTGGATATTTTTAATGCCCATGCTTTTCAGTTGTTCTATATACTTGAAAAGGGAGCTTGCTACTTCGCATGCACCCTTTTTACCCTCAGCTTCGTTCCACAAATAACAGGACGAGTTTTTGGTGACAATGTTGGTGACTGTGAAATTGGTGACTCGTAATCGCAGGGAGTAATAGAACGACGATGTTGGCCCGTGGGGCAATAACAAAGTTTTTTCCATGTCAAAGGCTGCCACAACAGTTGTCGGGTCATTTTGTGCCAACTCTTTTAAGCTTTTTTTAAATTTTCGGACTTCGCTCTTTTCACTCAAATGAATTTCTTGGTCATGAAACATTTCGTCTGTTAATGCTCTTTGGGGAGTATTGTCATATGCGGCACATGTGTCACATGTGTCATGTTTGAGTTTATGGAATTTAATATTGAATTTGGTACTAAATACTCTGCCATAAAAAGAATAGTTTTCTGGGGAAATGTTCTTTTCATGGCACCAGTCTACATACATCCTATGCATTCTGGACAGTGAAAGTCCCTCCTCCAGATATTCAAATTTTGACGTGCTCCTGACATAATGGCTCTCCACAGTTTTAAACAGCTTGATGTGCTCGATAACTGGTGCTTCTCTGCTTTCATCTACCTTCTTCTGGTTTCCATGACTGCCTCTTCGATCTGGGGTAGTCTCCCCACTAGATGCTATTTTATCGAGTGCCGATCTTACCCTTTTCTCTGATATTGAAAGAGTAGAAAGAAAAAACTTTTGACACACCCGCACTAATTCTTCGTATTCTGAGTTGGGCTTTACCAATCTATAGAGACGACTCATTTGTCTTTGTCTCTTCTTGCCAGTGATGGAGTTTCTTTTGTGGTTCTTTCGCCTTTGGACTGGAACTCTCTTTACATATTTCCCGATGTACGAAGCTTGCATGTCATATGACGCGAGGTCCCAGAAAGCACTACAAATGATTTTCCGCTCCTCTTCTGAAATTTTAGAACGACAATTGTTCCTGCAACCAGACCAGCAGGGTGATTTCGGTGTACAGACTCTTTCATCCGAAGAAGGTGTTTTGTCTCCATAGAAGCGCATCCCGGTATTTAATTTTCTTTTCAGTGTTGTCCTTTTCCATTCATTTGGGTTTCGCTTTTTTCTTTTTTCCTCCATCACAGTCGGTGTCTGGAGCAACTGTTGGTGGTTTTCAGGAATTTTGTATTTTGGCATCTTTTGTTACGCTGTTAAAATTCCAAAAACCACAGCTGCTGCCAGGACAGTGTATGTCCTCATCGAAAAGTACCAAGTAACCGCATCTTTCATTGGTTTTAATTATGAAAAATTGACGCAAAATTTTGATTTGCTTGCTCGTCACCAACAACACCACACTTTGCTTTGAATAATCTTTTATTATTTTTTGTCAAATAAACTTCCTCATATTCTGACAGTTTGATCTGTTTAGCAAGTTCGATCCTCAGAAAGTCCAGATTCTTCATCCTCAGATGTATCAGATTCTGATCGAAAAAGTGTGATGCTGGCCTTTTGGGATCAGGAATCCATTCACTGTCACTGTCAACTGAGATATCCTCATCTACATCATCTTCAACTGCTTTCTGGCTCATCTCCTTCATTCAATCTAACTAACTCGTTTACATTATTTTTCTGGTTTGCTCATCTTCTATCTGAACATTCTCAGCAACCATCTGCATCTCATTGTCTGGGTGCAAATCCTGCTGTCCTGCTTCTAAAAGCAAATAACCTGATTCAAAAGGTGTTGTATCTCCATCTGCCCACTCAACAATCCACTTCTCCCCCTGTCGTCCTGTCACTTTACCATGTACTCTTGCATCTCGCCAATTCTCACCATATGTTTTGTATGACCATCTTTCAACAACACTCTCACGTTCATTATCAAATCGCCACGCTTCTGTTGAAACGCAGCAACCGGTTTTAATTCTTGGCATAATTCAGATTCACGTACAGATTTAAATTCTAAATATCTGATAAATAAACAAAACATATTGAATTCTAATACAGAACCGTAAACCTTGTTTGACCATAACTAAATTAGATCTACAGCATAAGTTTCAGACGATAGGCACATTTTGAGCTCATTTTTGAGCAGCATCGGGTTTCAGCAAAGAGTTGTTCACTCCTAAAAAGTAGCAACAGACATTTGTGTGTTGATGAAATATAAAACAGAAATAAATTACATATTGTGTCAACTCAATGATCAAGCACAAACAGAAATATTTAATATCACATATTGGTTGAAAAAATCTCAAATTTGACAGATATAAGTAGACTATGAAAGGTTTTACTGGGTATGTGCAGTCATGCATGAAGGCTTATGTCCAGTATATTTAAAATTTGTTTTGGGGAGTTTAGAGCTTATGTCCACTTTTGTAGACATAAGCCACTTTTGCATAAAAAAACAACCAGCGAACCAAGACTTATGTCCTATTTTTGAGACATAAGTCACTGTTGTTCGAAAAAGTTGTACAGAGCAAATGAGACTTAAATCTCACCATGAGACACAAGTCAGTCTTGCACTACAGCATAGGGACATAATTTAAAGCTATCTTCTAAACTATACAGTTTCAAGGGTCAAGCTTATGTGCATCTGAAAGAGCATGGTTTAAAACCTCAAAAAATTGAAAAAAGTGAAAATCTCAAAAAGTGGACATAAGTCAGTCTTGTTCTACAGCAGCGATATATGTGTAATATATCTGCAACATAAAAATTACCGAGAATCTATATTTCGCTGTGATGAATCATCATCTTCATCTAGTTTTCCTCTTCCACCACCATCAGCAACATCAATGGATTCTGATCCTGAAGATTCCTGATTAAATCTTGAGTGTTCCTTTTTCTGTGCAATTAGGGAAAAATTCACAAGAGAAAAAATTCGACTAGGATAACAGAACACGAATAATTCTGATTTATTGAATTACCGTATTAAAATTTTTACAACTCTCAAATTTTGGTGCCATCACATTTGAACCCACGTACATTTGAACCAACGACAATTGCACCTGCATACTATTGCATCTTTTTTTAACGGATATTCGAACCCATACTAACCCTAACTCATGGATTTTAGCACCCTCATATAAATTGATCCCACGGATATACGGGTGCAAATGTATGGGTTCAAATTTACGTGGGTTCAAATGTACAAGTCACCTCGAATTTTACCTTGAGTAAAAATGACGTATGTTTGTCATCCAATTCAACATCAAGTGCTTGTCTTTGCCTTTCACTATCCATACTACTTCCACTATCACTAATAACTATACCAGAACCAGGAGGAGAGGGAGGTCTCATCGAAGGCACAAAATCTCTACTTTCATTTTGGTCAGTTGAGTCTAAGCCATTTTTAAGGTGAGATAAAGTTGATGAAAACCCGTTTAATTCTTTAGGAAGTGATTTATAGCTGTCCATATCTGATGGAACCGGAGAAATACTTCGTAAAGCATGTTTTGAAGTGTCGTTCCTCGGAGATAAATCAGTGGTTGCTCGCAATGTATGATCGGAGAGTTCTCCATCAGAAATATCATCACTTAGTTCAGGAGTGCGACTCAGTTGAGGTTCAAGTTGTTCAAATTTGTCGCTTTGGGATAATTTGTCTTCATCAGTAGCTGATTTACCAAGGGCAATTAACTCCGCTGTACTTGAAAATGTGGGATCCCTGAAATACACAATACAAAAAAATTGTATATTCTTACATTTTTCACAAAAAATGCACCAATCGAAGAAATATGTTTATCTTATTAGGACAAGGTTATTGTACAAGATTATTTCATAACAGTATCAATGATCCCCTCATACTCACCCTTGTGAAACATTCAATTTTTCCATTTCTTTTTGAATAGTTTGCATAGCCATCAGTTTTGCATTATCACTCAGTTGATCTGAATCTATGTCACCTTCATCTGTTTGGTCAAATTGTTCAAATCAAAAATGGTTAACATTTCATAAAATAAGGAAATTCAAGATGAGATATTCTCGTTTCTGAGATAAAATTTACCATCTCACAGGTCACAGCTTTTCAATAATATCTTAGCTCATAAACCTGTGCTAAGCTAACCATGTTAGGATTTATTAAAAAAATGGAATTTTTCTTGTTTAGATCGACATTTAAACTGGTTTATCAAATCCAGGATCTAAAAGTTGAGCTCTGGCTGATCAGAGACCAATACATAACCTATCATCATCAGGAGAAGGCGAACCATTAATTATCAGCAATGATCAGCTCTGTCTTGATCACAGACTTGTTCAGAGGAAACAACAAATAAAAATTGCATCGATTCTGATCCAAGATTGTTTTTGAACTAATATCGTACAAAAAACTTAAAATTCATACCCCCACTGTCACTATCCATTCCAATCTTTTCCAGCAAATAATCCAGTAGACCGTCGAGAATTTCAATCAAGTTGTACACAGACAATAGATCACAATTTACTATATCTTCAGGTTGTATATGAGACAAATCTACTTTCAAATAATCTTCTGACAATGTCTCAACTATGCATTTAATATTGTGAATTTGTGCTTCTTTTGAGCTACAATCAACAAGAGTTCCTATAAAATACAAAAAAAAAAATAAATAATAGGCTACCTATCACAAAATTCTCTCAAAAAACCGAAGAAATTATCCAAACAAAATTTGACAACAATCATGAAGACTGTTTTCAATGGTAATAACTTTAATTATTTAGAATGAGATTGAAGAAAAATAGGCTATATAGCAAAAGTACATCTTTAAGTATCAGCCAGGTTTGTTCTTACGTACATAAAAAATCATCCATATTAACCTAATGACCCCTGGTGTTCCTGGGTCATTTTGACACCCCTCTATAATTTTTTTAATATTTCACCAACCAAAAATGCCAAAGACATCATTAATGTGTCCCTAAAAAGCTTATTTTCGTCGCTTTCCACTAAAACGCGCCCACATTACGTAGCGTAAATGCGTCCGACCATATGCCAGTAAGAAGAGAGAAATTTCAAAAACTTTCGAGAAAAAGTTTCTCACTTTTAACGCTGTGGTCAACACGTGATTGAAATGCGAGAGAAAGAGTTTTCCTTTGGACGAGTTTTACGTCACCTTCAAAATAAAACAAAAGTGGGATTTGTAAGTGAAGTGATATTCGTTTTATCGAAGAGCATTTGATCGCGTGCTGTCTGGTATCTTTGTTTGTTTATTATGAGCCGGAGAACGTTGCTCGCGCGTTCAAAATACTTTGTTTTCAACTAACAACAAATATTTGTTAGTTTTTAAGCTTTGAAATACTCATACAAATAAATTTGACCTTGTTGCAAAATAAAAATTATACATAAAAAAAATATGATGACGTCACCGTAATTGAGAACACTCGGATCAAGCATGGATAATTTAAACTCAAACATTTTGAGTTTTGAAATTGGTTTTGTTCACATGCAGACCACTATGAAATACTATTGACCCCCCAAAATAGATTTAATTTAGCCATAATCCCAAGTTATGACACAGATCTGGAATTCATGGCCGGGCCGATCCTAGAGAGTTTAACAAAGATGATACTATTGCTTAAATGTTCCAAAATATACCGCGATGTTTTCAAAATCCTATGACTGTGGGAATTCATAAAATTGAAAAACATTTTTATGGGTGATAAAATGCGAACAAACTTTATTCGCAATATTAGTAGTAATCATTCAAAGAAAAGCTACATACCGTAAAACCGGCTAACTTCGGATGCCTTGTAACTTCGGATGAAATTTTCAATCATTCATATCTCAACTAAATTTCGTCGTATTGCGCTTCTGTCGGTTTCTATAGTAAGGCCTTACATACCTGAATCTGCCGTAGCCTCCAATCGCTCGATTTGATTTTTTATCATTCAAAAAATCATATTTTACCAAAAAAATGACACCGTTTTTTCGAGCGGCTCAAATCGTGACTTCTACAGACGCTACCTTCGTCAAATCACCGCCAAGCGCTAGAGAGCGTACACAATGTATACAAAAAAATACAGTGATCACAAGGTGTCGTACGAGATTCGAGTGAAATCGATTATTTTGATTTAAAAATTACATCAAAATATCGACGTTTTGATGATTACGTACAGCGTGACGTCAACGACGCAAATCCCGTTCTCTCTCTTCGTAGCCGACGTCACTCTGCGTAGCACGTGCGTTACTCGCTGCGACATTTGAACGCCAGACATCGCGGCGCCCAGTTTTGTGAAATTTTTAAAATTATGCTTATCCATGATCCTAGTCACTAAATCCAACAAAAACATCACTATCGTCTCAGTCATATGTTGTGTATTTAAAAATATGGGTATGCATACGCTTAATGCATATGAAATTTGTCGATTTTTGTTTTTGCATACTTCCTCCGACACCGATAGATACCGTAGCAATTGGTAATACGTTAGGCCTGAAACATGTATCTATACGATCATAATGATTAGATATGTCTGTTTACGATCGGCAGATGATAATAATATCTTTAACAGGTGAGCGTAGAACTCTACATACATGCACACAGCAGGAGGTTGGACCACATACAGTAGTTAGTTAGTTAGGAGTAGTTAGTGAAATATATACGAGTTATAATAAAGGACACAAGAATAAATAGTTAAGCTTCGCGAAGCGGCAAGAGTAACGTCACGTAGTAACGTCACGTACAAACGTCAGTATTCAACACGCAAGACAGGTCGTGGCGGCGTAAGGTCTATTCAGCGACGTTGTCACGCGTCATTGCTTACGCAGACATTTCTCTCTCACGACGAGTTGACGCAAAGAGAAAAGTGGCCATCCGAAGTTAGATAATTTTAGAATAGACGAATAAAGACAATAATTTCAATGAAAAAAGGCTTTGATGGATATGGAACCGACTTTATCAAGACGAGAATAGCCACAATGTATTATATTCCAAATTTGGCTTCAGTTGAACAACATGCGGCGGAGATATTGTTCAAAATATAGTGAAATCATCCGAAGTTAGCCGGTTTTACGGTATGCCTGGATTAATAAAGAAAATGATATTTTTCATAAGCTGCATTATAGGTGTGAAATGAGTATTAACCTGGTGGAAAGTCTCCCAAAATTGCATGATACAATGCGAGAAACAAATCACTTGTGCATTCTGAATATTCTTCAATCATGAACTGAATGTTGCATTTCGACAGCAGCTCATTGGCGTATGATACAACATCTGAAATTTGAAAATATAAACAAATTGACACCAATTGGAAAAGTTACACAAGTCATGCCATTCCATTTCCCTGCTGCTTCAGATTCAGTGCTTTCATTATTATGTTGCTTTTCATCAAGATAATATCTCAAGTTAATGCGTACCACTTTGTAATTTTATAGTTATAGATTTTAAAGTTACCTCCTTCTTTAACAATCGTCTCACTTTCTTCATCCATAGTACGAGTAATCCCTATCAAATGCTAGGTGGATGTCATCTCATTCTTCAACTCAAACTGTCAATGGTATGTCCTTGACAAAATACGCCTATCTGAAAATACACCAGTACATACAGACATATGATAAAAATAAATGATTATTATAATTGTAACTCTGTAAATGGGTAAAAAGTTGAGTATAATTCAACCTCATCAAGATTATCCCTTATGTATCCATTTTTACTTTACCTAAAACTGACAACAACTTTATTCCATAGATTACCTGTACACAGTCCAGAAACCAGGTTCAAAATAAATTCATAGTCTGGATTAAACAGTTTTATTTTTCAAATCTTGAATATCATCATAATTCAGAAAAAGAATATGGTACTATGCTCACTTTTTGATCTTGTTTATCGTTGCTCAAAACGATGCGTAATTTGGCACAAAATTGTGGACCGGTTGTAATAAACACCCCTACAAACAAAGATAGCAGTGCAGCATCTAAGAAAATGGATTTAAAAACCAAACCATGAAAATTTGTTGACATGCAGTTGCACAGTTCTAGCTGTAGCGAAATATACTTGCTTTAGGCATAAAGTTTGGCCACGCATTTTCGTCTCGCATAACTGAATTTGAAACAACATCAACCAATAATCATCACGGTTTAAATGATTGATTTGTATTGATCTCAAAATAGGCGTGGTTTTAAAATAGAATTTGCAAGTCATCATTGAAATTCTGCTTATTCAGAGGGAAACACGTTATTGTTACTGGTGAATTAGGTACAAGAGCTGTTCTCAGTGGAAAAAAAACAGTACCGGTAAGTAGGCCTATGCTTTTTTGTCTTTTCTATGTATTTGTCAATATTCTTAATAATGAAGATTTTCATTTCATTTATTCATTTGAATGACCTAACCGGCGATCTCTATTATTCTATATTCGGGACTGCTGGACTGTGTACCGTATACTGTACCGTTACCGGTGGGCTATATATATCCGGTACCGGTATATATATAAAATATACGGTACCGATACAGATATATAGTCTATATCATTGGTTCCCAACCGCCGGTCCGCGGACCGGTGCCGGTCCGCGAAGCTTTTTTGCCGGTCCGCGAGAAAATTTTGGTGTTTTGTTGTTTTTATGCCGTCTAAATCGCTTTACCGAGGACGCGGTCGCGTTGGTTTATTACGCAATTTCTCTTCCGCCGTCATATTGCGACATCTTGGTGCCGAGTAATCATACTTTTCGCTTTTTCGGCTTCGATTCATCTCGAATGCGCTCCAATCTCTTTGACGAGGTCGATTTATTACGCAATTTCTCTTCCGCCGTCATATTGCGACGTCTTTCGCGACATCTTGGCGCCAAGTAATCACACTTATTGCTCATCGTGAATGCGCTCCATCGAATCTCGCAAGATTCAGAAACCTAAAAATTGGCACGCGTGCTTTTTCTGTTTTGCATGCTTTTCCTGATTAATATGACCACCCAAATAAAACGTTACGCATATTTCTTTGTTCAAACCAAAAAACAGTCAAGAAAAGTATAATACTACAGTAAAATATGGCAGGTGGTCACGAGAAGCGCAAAAAAGCATGGGCCGCTGAGATCTTTCCCAGTATCTTGAGCAGACAAAGTCGGATTTTGAGCCTGGTGCCAAACTACCGACGACTTTGTCATTGTAATGTAAATTCATTCCGTTTGAAGCATCGATCAACTGCAGAGGGATTGATATGATGAACCCAATGAAAAAGCTTGATTCAAATTGTGATTCTACTTTACAGTCTAGATTTAAAAAAGAATCACTGTCACAATTTTGGATATCTCTTGATAACAAATACCCATCGCTAAGTAATCGAGCAATCAAACTGTTGTCCGTATTTTCAATGAGTTACTTATATTTTTATTACTTATATATAAAAATATTTTCATCACTAGCTTCAATTAAAGCGAAGCAAGGAAATTGGCTGCACGCCGCTGCAGGGCTACGTGTTGCAGAAACTTCCTTGAGGCATCGTTTGCAATCCTATATTGGAAACTAAACAGCAGCAAAATTTTCACTAGAGTTAATTGCGTTTGTACATGATTTGACATGTACATGTTTTTTATGTGAGATGTTTTATGTGTGCCTTTCTTACGCATAATGGGCGCCCAGCACCAAAGCATTACGCAAATATTTTTGGCCGTCACATTATTTGATAGTTTTTCTTCGTGTGAGCTGTTTTTAAGTGTGCCTTTTTTTTGTCTAGACTCTAGATGCATATTGAGTGCCCGACATTGCATTGTATTACGCAAATACATGTTATTCTTTTATGTTTCGGTCATTTCAATTTTTTGCCGGTCCGCCAGTACATTTAATTTAATTTTACCGGTCCGCCAGGGTAGAAAGGTTGGGAACCACTGGTCTATATACCCGTTTTCTCGAAAACTAGAGAGCATCTTATTTCAATTTTTTTTCGAAAAATACCGTAACACTATAGCTTATTTTGGGGGGATGTCTTTTATTTTCATTTATCAAAAAAAATTACAAAGTAGAGAATTACGAGATTTTCAGATATACCAAATATGAATATTTCTGATAAGTCAAGATTTCTGAATAAATTTGAACAAATCAAAACCAAGGTCTTATCGATCCTTATCAAAAGTTTTTCAAGATAAATCTGAGGAATGTTTATATGAACTTTTTTGTGGTTATTATTTTGTTTTATTTTTTATGTCAATGCTTTTTAATTGTCAGAACTGATCGATTAAATAAGTAAAATGTTCCCAATAATTCGTTATGGAGACGAGGATAGCAGTTTGATTAAGAATGAATCGAATAAAAATGATATTTTGGAGTCGTTGAGAAAGAGTGCAAAAAAGAAGAAGGCTGCTAAAAGACTGTTGGATGAAACATTGGTTCCTGGTGACAAAGAGATTTCCACGACAAAAGAAATTGATGATAATATCGACACCAAAAAGGTCAAAGTTGAACAAATAAAAAATAGTTCTAATCAACTTCCTGAAAAAATTGTTAATATTGAAAAAAGAGATTTGATACATAGTCCTTATAAGAAAAATCAAGATGTTGAAAGTGTTTCCAGAGTTGGGACGGAAGGGAACAATAAATATGACCCATTTGAAGTATTGAAAATGAGACTGAAAGCTCCGAAGGGTGGTTTGAATTTTGAAATGTTTAAAGTTGACCACAAGTTGCCAGAATGGATAGAGAATCCATATTGGATTGATATTGATATCAACAATTCAGAGGATTTTGACTTAACCTGCTTCCATGAACTGGTGCAAAAAAATTTGAAGGAAATGGGGATATTCAAACTTTTTCCTGTTCAAACAAGCCTCATACCTGCCTTGCTTTATAATTCCAAATGTTTCATGATCAGTAGACCAAATGATATCTGTGTATGTTCACCTACAGGCAGTGGAAAGACTTTGGCATTTGCGATACCAATTATTAACTGTTTGCTTGAATCACCAATTAATGGAACGAGGGCTTTAGTTGTTGTTCCGACAATTGAACTGGCAAAACAAGTGCATGGTGTGTTTCTTACATTGTCCAAGGGTAGTAATATTAAGTCTATTTTATTGGGTGGAAGCCAAATTGAAACTGAAAAGTATTTGCTTTCAAAAAAATCCAAGTTTGGGTTTGAGATTTTCCCAGATGTAATTGTTACCACACCAGGTAGATTGGCACACTTTCTCGAAGTCCCAGATTTACTTCATCTCAATAAGCTTAGGTTTCTGGTAATTGATGAAGCAGATCGAATATTGGATGTAATTAAACAGTCCTGGCTTCAGAAATTAAGATATCATTTACCTCAATCTGAGCAATCAACAGCGGAAAACGCAACACTACAGGATTTGATCAATCCTAAAAGATCAGTTCAGAAGCTTCTATTTTCTGCAACATTAAACACAGATCCCCAAAGACTAAAAACTCTTAATTTATTTCAACCACGTCTGTTTCTTGCTAAACCAGCGACAGAAAATAGGTCCGTTTCATTAACTAGTCAATATATAACCCCACCAACATTGCATGAACATACTGTCATATGTGAAACTAACATGAAGCCTTTAATTGTCATGGGATTACTGATAACACTGAAAGTGAAAAAGGCACTTTGTTTTACTCGAACTGCGGAGTCTACACGTAGACTTCATCATTTGATAAAGGAGTATTCAAAGTTCAATATATTAAGTATTCCATGTTTGGAATTTTCTTCTCTCCTAACCAAACGAGAGAGAAAACGTACAATGAATGATTTCAATTCTAAAAAAGAGTGTGTTTTAGTTTGTTCTGATGCCGTAGCACGTGGCATTGATGCAGAAGATGTCGAATTAGTGCTTTTGTATGATTCTCCATTGTTTATAGAAACTTACATACACAGAGCTGGAAGGGCATCTCGTGCAGGAAAAGAGGGTTCTGTATACAGCTTGATTAATCCTACAGAAGTGTCTCGTTGTAAGAAAATATTTCGAAAAGCTGGTAGACAGTTACCAGACGAATGTACTGTTGATAAAGATACAATATCCAGATTATCAGTTGATTATGAAAAAATACTTTCAAATGTTCAAAATATTTTGCAAGATTCAAAAACATAGAAAAACAATGAAATATTACTCTTATTGGAATCATTTTTCATTAGACTATTGGATTGATATATGAGTAAATATGTTATCAGTGTTCACCTTTCAGCCGTTTTTTGATTCCTTCATATTTTTGGTTTAAATTGTAGAACAATCCGCTTTCAAAATTGCAAATTTCTATCTTCGTATTTCAAAGCGAAATCTCAAGCCAAAAATGAAAATCATATTTCTGAAATGTAATCATAATTACCATTGCCAAATTATTTCTAGACTTTGTGATTTGTAGAGAAAATATTAGCTTACTCAATTATTATGAATCTAGTAGAGCAGATAAAAAGTTTTATGAAAGATGAAAAATTGGTGACTGGAGCAGCTTGCAATGCAGTTGATTTTGCAATTACTAAAGGAATTTTAATGAGGACTTCCGACAGGCGAGATTCCTCAGAGGTAACTGGTTTAAAGCTGATTAATTTAATAAATTTAGCAACTTAATCAGAATCGTGACTTGAATAGTTTCACTCAAAAATCTGTCTGCCGGACCTCTATTTGACTTGTTGTAATTGACTGCATTCAAGGTCCATGTCTGACTTTGCTGGGTTTTGTTCTTCGAACTGATGTACTTGGGAATTAAAGATGGAGTTGGCGGCTTTGTCTTAATATAAATATTTAAGGCATGCTCTGATTTTTTAATATGGTATTGATGAGGCAATTACCTTTTTTAACGGTATTTGATGTGAAAGGCCAATCTTTCCAGAGCCAACGATTTAATATGGTTATTTTGAATAATTGTTAAGTAAAGCTTTAGTATGTGTTATTAAGGTGGTGCAGCATGCACCTTTCACTTTGTTTCCATCTCCTGTCCCAAGCCATCTTATGGATCAAGCAAAAGATGTTCAGAAGGATTTCGGTTTTTTAATGCATGTGTTGAGTCAGGATCAGGATTTCCTAAAATCTGCTTACAGCAGGTAAGTTTGGCACTCTTTTCGATTCTAGATTTGTAAATCTGTTTCTGCATTGTTTGCATCTGCATTAGTTCGGCGTTACTGGTATTTCAATACTTTCACAGTGTACTTGAATCGGATGAGTTCACAAAGAATCTTTTTGATATCTATGAGAAAACTCGCCAAGAAAAACCTAAGGTATATCCTTATTCAGATTGAACTTTTTAATTACGGTAATTCTAATGTAATGTATATTGTTTTTACGTAATAATGGTGGTGTCATATAAATATTGCACCAACTTCATAAACATTTTCAAAATTTGTATCGAAAATCTTTTTGAAACATTAACTTAAGTTTAATTTGTTGTTTCAGAAAGCAGAATTAGCGTTGATTCGTTCAGACTACATGCTCCATCAACCTGATCAAAATACCATAAGTTTAAAGCAAATTGAAGTCAACATGATTGCTTCAAGTTTCAATGGGATTGGTACAGAAAAAGTTACTGCACTTCACGAGTATAATTTAAACAGCAATGGCTTTAAGGACTTCCATGACAGGATGCCTGAAAATCTTGCTTTGCCTAACTTGGCTGATGGAATGTTGGCAGCCTGGAATCATTACGGACAACCTAATGCAGTTATTGTGTTCATTATTAGTGACGTAGAACAAAATATATTTGATCAAAGGACATTGGAATTCAAAATTATAGAAAAGAATCCGGATGTTCGTGTGAGAAGATATACCTTAGGTGAAGTTGCTGATAAAGGAAAACTTGATTCCAATTCAAAGCTTTTTATGTGAGACATCTTCTTTGTTTTAACCCTGTTTTCAATTGATTATTATGTAGAATACAGACTGTTGATTCTCTACCTTTTTAGAGCTGGTGAAGAAATAGCTGTTGCATACTACAGAGCTGGGTACACTCCAAATGATTACCTATCACAAAAAGTATGTGTCTAAAATGTTAATTACCGTATATCATCACCTTCAAAAATTTATTATACAATTCTCATTTCTTCTGTTTGGGATATGATTTCATATTCGTCAAATTGCTAGGAGATCTGATATTATACCATTTTTCTAAAGTAAACCTCATACCTTTAATCTGATAAGTGAATATGAGAATACTTTATAAGGAATAGAGGGCCAAAGGAGACACTAACCTGGCTTGTGATTATCGGGCTGTGTAATGCCGATCAATCTCTAGCACTTATTTGACTGTGTCAACTATTAAGCCATATTATTTGATACTTGATTTGTACGTTTGTATTATTGTGATCAAATGTTTTAAATTGGATTGACCAATTTTTGGCATACTTCAAATTATCCATGTATTTAAATTTATGCTGGATAATTTCAGGAATGGGATGCAAGAAGAATGTTGGATTGCAGTGACACTATCAATTGTCCTAGTGCTGGTCATCAACTAGTTGGTGCTAAGAAGATGCAAGAAGTTCTTACACAGCCTGGTGTATTAGAAAAATTTATTAAAGGCACTGATTCATTGAAACGACTGAGAGATACATTCGTAGGATTTTATGGATTGGAAATGGTACGCTGCTTTCGTTAAATCAATCTTGAGTTGCTCTCTGAACACGTATTGCATTCAGTTATAAACAACTTTCTTAGTAATTAAAGGTTAACATGCATCTATCAGCATCATTCCTATGGTTACTACTTCCATCCAATTGATGATCACTTTTTTAATGTTTGCTATTCATACCACAGGGTGCTGAAGGAGATGAAGCAGTTGCAAAAGTTTTGAAGAATCCTGATAACTATGTTCTTAAACCACAACTCGAAGGTGGCGGTGAGTGCACAGTAATATCACAACTGTAAAATCGATTACCATAAATGAAACATTCCGAGGATTCTTTCTCAGTTCCAGGGTTTCCCTATTTCTTTGGTGCTATTAGCAACCCCTAATTGCTAACGGTTCAATGTTAATTAGACATTCAAAAATTAGCCTGTGTAAAACACTTTTACATATGAGTGAAAGTATGTAACATAATTAAATTCTTATTTCCTCCATCCTGCAGGAAACAATTTATATAATCAGGACCTTGTTGATAAATTAAATGAAGTTGGAAGTGACAAAAGAAGATGTAGTTACATCATCATGGAAAAAGTTAGACCTATGCCGGTTTCAACAATTATTATCAGAGCTGGGTCTGGTCCACAACAATTTAAACCCGTTGAAGGTGTCAGTGAACTTGGCATATATGGAGTCTTTTTGGCGTGAGTATGACTTCATTTATGAAACTCTGGATATGGAATATTTAAATCATTGCATGCTCAGTCGTACAAGAATTCGATTAGACTTATCGTGCTCAGAGCTTTTGATACATGGGCTGTAAACTGGCAATCTGGCATATGAATATGTATTCAAAATATCTGTATAACTCTAAAAGTATATATTTTTCTTGTTTTGCTCAATTTTGTTACTCGGCTGTTACTGGTATTGCTTCAAACAAATCTGAGCAAAACTAACTTTTGCACTCAGTTTGAGATTTTTGCACATTTTTTTGTTTCAACATTCTCATTCTTAGGTCTGGTGACAAGATAATCAAGAACACATGTGCAGGTCATCTACTTCGTACCAAAGCAAGTCATCATGACGATGGCGGGGTGGCAGCAGGTGTTGCTGTGTTAGATTCGCCGTTACTTGTGTGATTGTGTCTGAGTTACTAATCTGATATTTTTTATACTGGTTGTGATATAAGGAACAAGCGGATTTAATGAAGTCAATTAAACAAATATGAGTTGTCTTTGAAATGCTATTTATTTGATTCTTGTCACCCATAGAGTAAGAGACCAACATTTTAACCACTGGTAACATTGCCCACTGTATGCACCTGACTATCCAACCTTCATACACAGTTGTCGTATTACAGCAGGTTTATTGCTCTGCATTGAAAAGTAGAATTATATAAAACCTCAATCAACTGCCATCCTGGTACTCCTAGAAATCTTCTGATAATGCTTCTGGGGTTTTCAATTTTGTGCTTCGTTATGTTTATTTTTGCTCATTTTTAATATTTTAGTTCTGAATCAAAGAATAGGTTACTGGTCAAGTTTGCATAAATGTATACATTTGTTTCATTTTCAATCATGTACATTCAAGTAGTAACTTGTGTGTACGCTTGGCTACAACGTGAAGTCAGTAAGTGATATATGGTTCCTTTAAGCCACTCCTGGTGGTAAATGATATCTGCTTCGAGTGCAAACTGACATTAATAATTATTCAACTTTGGTTAACTACGAGTATGTTTAATGGAGGTTTCCTATTCACTAATTTCCTGTATGTTTTGTTGATGAATGAATAAGTGCAATAATGCAATAAGAGTAGTAAAATGTTAAATTTATTCAATAGAAATTAGTGATGATGCAGTATTTCCATCATTAATAGCAGTCTAATATTCAAGTTGCCCCTGTAGATGCATAATTGATGATTCTTATTACATGGGCAATGAAATTCCCCACTGGTGCTACATCATAGTGTTTTCATCAATTTTTTCTATATTTCACCTATTCTGGAATACTGTTTAGCGAAATCCCAATAAAATACCTAGTGCTTTGTTCTTATGTATATGTCGATCAAGTTCCAATATATTCAAGTGCTTATTGTATAAGTTAGTTGTTTATTTATTCAAGATATGACCATATTTTTACACAGATATATCTAATTGAATTTTTTTATTCTAATTCAATCACTCTGATTTTCATGTATCGTATTGTGTTTGATGTTATATTATCAATGTTCCCAAAGAATAAGCTATATTTTTTCTATAGCGTTGCTAATGATTACTTCTCAGATACTACCATCAAGATTGTCAATTGTTCATTATAAATAGTACAATATATAATTCAGAAACTGTGTTTTTTTAGCTGTTTTATTGCTTAAAATAAGTTTAAATTCTGGAAAGCAAATAGATTTATACTTGCAAAATGTGTGATAAAAAAGAAGCAAGCAAGAGATATACTGGGAAGAATATCTTGGCTCCTATGGTTCGAATTGGTACTTTGCCCTCAAGGCTGCTTGCATTGAAGTATGGTGCAGATCTAGCATATTGTGAGGTGAGAGATTGCAATGTGATGTTTTGTATTTATCTTATGTTTGCATCCTTATCATTCACAGTATACTTTACATTTCAGGAACTCATTGATTTCAGATTTGCAGAATGTCACAGAGTTGAAAATCGTAAGTTTTTTATTGTATTTCGCAAGTGTGTTTGTGGTTCCTTTCACAATGCGCCCACAACCCCATAATCACACAGAGGACTATTGCATGTTTCGGACAAGGGAATGGATGACTTTTCATGGGTATGTGACTGTAAAATGTCTTAATTTTTGATTTATTGTGGCAGCCATACTCGGGACTGTGGACTTCCTACAAGATAAAGACAGTCGACCAATGTTTCAAACATGCTCAGAAGAAAGAGATAAAGTTGTTTTGCAAATTGTAAGCAGATCCCAAACTTTTTTTTCAAATGTATATAATTTTTAGTACAGCGTGATGATTTTCCGATGCATATTCTTATAAGGATTGAATGTTTGTCTAATCAATCCCAATTTGATTTATTATATTTTATTTTTCAGGGAACAGCTGATGCCCAAAGAGCTTTGCAAGTTGCTAAACTAGTGTAAGACGTAAGTTCATTATGCTTGATTTTTGTCATTATACACATTTCATCTATTTTTTTTTATTGACAGGGAGAACGATGTATCCGGTATTGATGTCAATATGGGTTGTCCCAAAGAATATTCTACCAAGGTGTGTGCACATGGTGGTGATATGTTGTTACATCATTCTTTTAGAAATTTCCCAAATGTTCAACAACACAAATTTATATAGAGAATGGAAGCAACTTTTCAATTTTCATGGATGTATTTCACATTTAATGTTTCTGAGATTTTGAAGTTTCATATAATTTCGGATTTTCATTTTTCTAATTGATGTTGACAATATTTTTCAGGGAGGAATGGGTGCTGCTTTGCTACGGAATCCAGATAAAATAAAAGAGATTTTGACAACTTTAGTAAAAGGAGTTTCAATTCCAGTTACATGCAAAATCAGGCTACTTCCAAAGGTTACTATAATTTGAAGATTGATGTTTTGTGCTCACTTATTTATAATTCCGAGTTGTGTTGTAAATTAAATTATTTATCTTTTAGCTAGAAGAGACAATTGAACTTGTTAAACTGATTGAAAGTACTGGTGTTGTTGCGATTGGTGTTCACGGCCGTCTTAAAGAGGAAAGACCACGGCATCCAGTTCATTCGAATATGATAAAAAAGATTGCAGAAACAGTTTCACTACCAGTTATAGCCAAGTATGTATCAACAATTGGTGAGACAATGTGATATGCATTTGGTTTTACCCATTAATTTATATTTATATACAGCTTACTGCTTCGACAAAAGATCATATTAAATGATTATGACAACATCTTCATTACACACATCCTGTTGTGTAACTTAGGAAGTAATTGCCTCCGTTATATACTTAGCTTGTACTTTGAATTGCTTTACATAAATCTGATTTCCTTTTACCGAGTATTGGTGCGAGCGTTGAGAATATAGACTACTTAGTTTATAATTTTAATAATTTACCATGATTTTTGATTGTAATTTCCCACTGGATAAGCTATCACCTCAACTTTATTCCCCTTTGGATTCAGATTATGGGTATATGCTTTTTCATTTCCAATCCATTCTCATATATAAATCGAAAAGCAGGTGTTGTTCGTTTGCAGTTTCAAACACACCCTCCTGATTTGAAGTTTCCACTTTCTTCTCTTAGCCATTTGGCCATGGAGCACACAAAGGGTCATGTTTGAAACTCATTAAAATCGTATTTGTCTCCTTCGCATTCAAATATACTCTCAAATACATCATAGGTTTATGTATAGAAATTTGTAAAAAAAGTGAATTAACTATTTTAATTGACATCAACTGTGTTATTCTTGCCTCAAAATGGGGTAGCTGTAAATCAGGACACTTGAGCTATTTGTAGATTGTAATGATGCTGTAATGTAATTTGGGATAATACAACGCATTAGCATTTTTAAAAAGCCTAGATCACAGCTAATAGCCTGTTACTACTTTAGCAATCCTACATTTATGTCCATGCTCAATTGGATGTTCATTTTCCTATTATAGGATTCATATAAACATTATGTTAAATATTGAAATACCAAAATATCATGTTTATATACTGTACTTCAGAACTATTTAGAAATGTTAGCTTTCTACTTTTTTGGCCTCTTGTCACATGTGTTAGTCAAAATATGTCAAAATATGTTTTGTAGTGGTGGATCTGATGATATCATCAAGCAATATAAAGATATTGAAAGATTTAAACAACTGACTGGAGCTTCCTCTGTGATGATTGCTAGATCTGCTCAATGGAACATGTCAGTATTTAGGAAGGAAGGATTGCTTTCTACTGATGATGTTGTTAAGGATTATCTGAAATATGTGAGTCTAAAAGTTAATAAGGTCAATGTTAACAAATGAATGCTCCTCATGGGAAATGAGATGCAATGGGTATGAAAATTGAAGTAATGAGGTGAAATTATTAGCACAGTCAAATCTCTTTACGAGACTTATTTAAAATCTTCTACAGCGAGTTTTATTTCAAGACCTTTATTTTTTGTAACCACTTGATTAGATTTGGTAGTTCTGAAATAATATTCTTTTTATTTTTTCTATCTGATTTATTTTTTGTAATGTTGGTTTATGCGGCAACTATAGGCTTCTATATATAGTACATATATATGACAAGTAGGAGTGCAAGCAGGCTGAAAAACAGCAAAAAATTGGTAGCAATTGTTGTGATTTGGTAATTTTTCAACTGATAAAAACCATATTTTTATATATTTTTGTGATTGTTTCATATCTCCTTATTTAGGCAATCAAATATAATAATCACTTCATAAACTGCAAGTTTTGTATCCAAGAAATATTGAGAGATAAACAAGAAAGTCCGATGGGAAAACAATTGCGCTCCTCTTCATCACTCAGAGAAATTTGGTAAGGGTTTTTCAATGAGGCTTGAAACGTTGGAAGTCGCTGATGGTTATTATGACAATACTTGGTCTTTATATTGGATTTAAATTTCTAACATTTAACAATGTCATGATTTTTCCATATCCAACCAATTTATGGGGCCAAAGAGTAATGTTTTTACTTTAAATATTACACTTAAAATACATGCAGTTGTATATGGGGTATGGAAGAGGAATATGATGCTGCAGAAAAGAGAAGAAATGAATTGCGGGTTAAACTTGGACTTGTCGATGAAAAGTCATTAGAGCCTGATGCAAAACGAATAAAGAGATCTGATATTGTGGAGATGAATTTTCAAATTAAAAGGTGAGGGAGTTGAACTTCTTCAATTTGAATTTCTTGTTTCTGTTTATTTCACTGACAAATGAAGCTTTGACTAGGCTTTTTACAGACAATCCATTTGCTTTGAGGCGGGCCGAGATGCTGGACTTATTCTATGATAAAATTGTTTTCATCAGTATATGTTGGATGAAATGCTGAATGAGATGAGAAACACGCAAATGCAGGGTATTTTGGTAAATCTTACCCAATAACTTACATTCTACGTTTCGTGGACTAACCAGGACCCAATCTGCAATGATTCATAATTCAGTAGTAGTACTCTTTACCTTGTGCATTTGTTTTTAGATGTGAATATGATTTGAAAAAGAACAAAACACCCAAAACAATTTTGTATGAATACACACTCAAAGAAGAGTTGAAGCCTCCTTTTTATACTACGGTCAGTGAAACATACTTCTAGAGAATTTTTTTTTTATTAAACTATGTGAGTAAGGTCATGCATGTGTTTTAACATTCATTTTGTTGAATCACTATACTAGTAAATACAAAAAATGGATAGTCTTCAACTCTGAGACTCTCTATTTTACTTACTACATTTTGCAGGAATGTCGAAGTACAGATAGACACTTTCAATCAATTGTTACTGTAAATGGGAAAAAATATAAAACAACATCATGGTGAGTACCTGGATTTTCAACTGTATCCATAATTCATGTGAGCATGTATGTAGAGAACAAAACCATTTTTAAGCCATTCATTCATTTATCCGAGCTTGACTACTTTGAAGGATGATATTACAAATATATGAACTTTTGCATTGGGATTTTTTTCTGAAGCAGTGATATATATATGAAATGCAGCTGGCCGAGAATCCCCGCTCAGTACTTTCGTTCTGCCGCGCTTTGCATAAGTATTAAAATGTTGTGCTTTTTTCTATTTTTTTTTTGGAGCTCACATGGCCTTCTATTCCGCGCAACTAAGCAAGCTCTTAGAGGGAACGATGGACACAACAACAACACTTGAACCAACCAAAACGCAAACTAATATATAGGATTTAAAACAGAAATCATATGCCCACTCATCACACAAACGCTAAGATGTCTCAATGTCATCGATTGTTATATTTTTGTAATATATTCTAATTATATCTTTACACAAAACATAACCAAATAATAAAAAAATAACACCGTCAATACTGACATGTCTCAATTTTCTAGGTTATTATAACATAATATTTTAACACATACTAATTCTTCGAATGACCCTGAACTTTAGAAATATATTTAAGTTTTGAATTTTTTTTTTCAATATTACCGATAACATGATTTTGGCAATGAAATAAGCATAGGAAAATGTGAAGGAAAACGGATTTCAGTTAATAATTTTTAACACTTTCTCAATTCAGAAAATATTTAAAACAAAAATCTCTTTATTTTGCTTTCCGAAAATATTCTCAATATCCTACTATTTTTACCACTTTTTTTACGCCCCCAAAAATATAAAAATTGAAAAGATTTTCAGAATTGAATTTAAAATGGTTGATTACCGGTAATCAGTTTTCGTCAATCATGAATGCTGTTCTGATTACTTATTTCACAATTTGCAGAATACTTGTTTAATCAAGCTAAATTTAGTTTTTGCAATAAAGGTTTATTTGTTTAGCGGGATATTTATTTATAGCTTGAATAAATTGATCATCAATATTTCGCTTAATTTTACTGATTTGACATGATAATTGATGTAATTCTTGATATAGATGATGCCCATCTCACACAATGTATACAAATATGACAGAAAATTCTTACGCAAATTTGACATTGGCGGCAATGGTCAAATTCAGAGATAAATTAACCAAACCTATCTTATGTAATCATTAAAAATATCTTTTTGTAAACAATTGCCAAGTGGTGGGGTGGTACCAAATTGTTTATATTTTTGTTTGTTTGTTTTTTTATTATTAGATCAATATCTAGTTTCAGTTGCCCATATTTATTTATATGTTTTGACATTTTTTTTTGAAATTATCTTGCAAGAGGTGATAGAGATCATTTATATTTCCAGGTTTATAATACATCTAAATATTTGTATTTATTTGCAAATAGCTGTAAACTTCAGGATGTATACATATGAACACATTTCAGTAGTACATGAATGTTACTTCCAGTAGTTCAATGAACGATGCAAATTTAAAAAAAAACTTTGATTTAATGTGCATATCTCTTAAGCACACTTTGCTCTAATATTGCAATTCATTGTCTGCGTTTTTCCAGAACAGCATCAATTGGATTAGCATGTCTCATATATTCATACGTTTTTACAATATTGCTTACTTCTGAAATCCGTATGCAACCTGTCCAAAATGCGTTGAAGATGTTGAAATATATTTCAAAAAACCAACACTAATTCAACTATTACATTTTTAAACAGCCAAAGTATGTTCCACACTAATGGTGACATTCAAAGTTTCCTATATTCTCAGAAAAATTTCAACCAACCTTGGGCACATATGTGCGAAATTCGAAAATTTGCATTTAATCTTTATGAATTTCACGCTTCAGAACCACTTTTAATTAATTAGCCATTGTATATTTTGTCTTGACGTTTCAGTATTGATAGGTATGCACCTCTTGCTTGTTTATTAGTTTATATTAACTGGGTGTTTGGTTTATTATTACTGTTATGGTGCCATGTTATCGTATGTTACCATCTGGATAACCATGTCGCTTGTGTGGTCAAAACACTTCTTCAGGTGAGTGGTTGTCGTATTGTCTTGTAACGGAATTTTTATTGAAAGTTCAATTTTGACCAAGCAAGTACGTTGGATAATTTTTTTTTGATGAATCTTACTTTTCTGTGGGCGATGCTTGATGTAATTTACTACCCAATATTTAAGATGAAAATATTACGATTTTGTTAATAATGTATTGTTCACAAATTCTAATAATAGCAATCTTCTATATGATGAATTGTAAAAAATGCTCCTGTCACAGATGACATTCTGCGGCTTTTATCATTATAACATGGCGATGATGGAAACCCAGAAATATGTTAGTTTTCAGACTTCCGTTTTTTTAGTCTTTAAACTAGCTAGTTTAACAGGCTGGAATTATTTGTTTACTGCAATATGTGAATTGAGTATCCCGGTGTCGCTTTCAATCGTTGGAATAGAGAGAACACCTCACCCACGTATGATTGGTAACAACTGTTGCTCTTCTTCCCTAGATGTCTGTAATTGATGCTTGGATAGCTTTGTACATGTAGGCGTGGGTGGTTCTGAATTTCTCATAAAAATATTTTTACTACGAATCCTTAGAATTATTTTGATTATTTTTCTATTTTGAAACTCTTTACTTTCGTTTATATCGTGGTTTGTTTTTTATATAAAGATATAAGTTGATAAAAACCATAGCTGTTTTGTAATTTACACTATTTACTTGGTTTGATTTAACAATATACGCCTGTCCCATATTTTCTGACGTCTTGTGTAGGTGTTTTGTTCCGGTTTTTGTTTGGGTGAAATATTTTGTTTTAGTTATTTATATTTTCACTTTCGATTTATGAACATGATTTCCTACGAATTATTCTTTCCTCCTACTGATGTTTTCCGACCTCATCTGACATTCTCCGCCATAGCTTCAATGTCATCAATTGCCTTGTTGTGGTGGCGTACTATATTGTTACACTACCAAACTTTCCATGCTGTAAAAAATATGGAAATGTTTAATTTTGGGCGCACACGAATTAGAGTCATTTACCAACTATAGCTTGTATCGTTCATTATGTGAAATTTTTTTTATCAACGTTTTCATGAACTATCTACGATAGTTTAGTAAAACACCATAACGATCCCCAATACAGTTCAGTATAATCACCTTATTTATTTTGTAATTCCAAATCCAAATTTTATTTTTCTTTATGGGGTGGGCGTCGAGTTGAAATAACACCAATTAACCCTCGACGCACATTTTATTTCGTCAGCAGCCGCTCGCTTGTTCATTAAATGCAAGATCCTAACCATAAGTCAAATCTCGCGTGCATTGTCTTCCTTTTAATCTTCCTAATCCTGTTTCGCTTTCGCAATTTTCAACATTGTCGTCAACAAATGCTCTTACTTTTAAACTAGTATTGCCCATGTAGTGGACGCCCATTATTTTCATATCGGACGTACATGTTACTGCTTGAACAAGTACTGAACTTGGATAAAATGAATCAATTCGGATGCGTGTATCGTGCGCCCGAATTAGTCATCGCACGCGCGTGGTCTTTTTTCCTGCAAGGGCGTTGATGAATCAGTTGATGCCTTGCGACGAATGATTACGTTCGTTTCCAGTAATTTACTTGTTATTCGGTCTGTTTTTAGCACAACAAGATTTAGTGTTCGCATTTTTTTACGCAACAATTATTTGTCGATTTTTGCATTTCGATGTTTTATTAATGAGATTCCAAGAAACCGTTGAATTGTGGTTCGTTGTATCTATATTTTAAGGACACATTAATGATGTTTCTGGCATTTTTGGTTGGTGAAATATTAAAAAAGTCATAGAGGGGTGTCAAAATGACCCAGGAACACCGGGGGTTATTAGGCTAAGACATTTACGATCCGCCGTAAGATTATTGTTTGAAAAAAAGCAAACCTCGCATACGATTATATAATAAAATTATTCGCAGTACGACTTTCTGGTTGCAATATCTGTTTAAAGATTTGTTTATGATCGCCTATTGTGTAACGGGACTGGAGCCCCGCGTAAGCGCCTCAGATATCCCGAATGGTTCCATAAACCAATGCCGTAATTGAAATATTCATTTTCCTCAACCAAAAGACTTGTCAAGCTCTAATATCGTTGAATGTACCTTGTGTAATGAATAATCGAAACCTGTGTTGTAAAATCCAAATCCGACGAGGCTTCGTGGTTATTGATGGCGGTATATTTGGTCTCTGTGTAACCGCGAAATAATGGATTCCTGTAGCATACATATAATTTTCCCAAAATATTCGTACCCTTTAATATCGCCTATAACTCGATTAAATAGAATGCATCTTGGTGAAAATAGCAGTTTCGTACTATCCAAATAAACTGTCGACAGATAGATAACCTCATTATTCTCGCTGCTTCAAATCAAAATGACCTCGATGGGCCAGTTAAACAGATATTTCTGTCACGTCATGCATACCAAAACACAGAAGAAAAAAATTACAAGGATCACAAATCTAAACTAAATAACAAAACGTGGCCGTGCGAGGTTTCGCGTGCTAGATTTCGAACATTTTTATTAATATATTAAATTTCGATCATTATCCAAGAACTTACCTAAGGTTCTAAGTGTATATAGTGTGTAAATTTTAGTGTATAATTCCAATCGCAAGTTTATTTTGGTTCATTTCTGCAACGATATTATCACTGCTTGGCGGCGCATGCCGTTAGTCCCGGACTATTATCATCGTGTATATTTGTTTATAAATGTAAAGCATTTCGAGTCGATTCTCCACCAAGTCGTTCAGTGGCTTAACATGTTTTAAGCTACTAGTTCTGTGTATATATTTTATATCATAATTTGATTTCACGCACTTTCTGTGGAACGGTTATCAATTCAATATGGGAATACTGGCGTATAAGTTCGGTGTTCATTTATAAAGTATCAAGTAGTGTATCTCATGAATTTGTGCGATGTATCTTTCCGTGGCTTGTTTGCTATTGTTTCTATTAACATACCACTGAGGGTTCATCCAACTCCATCAAAACTCATGTAACATGTCAGGATTAAGACGATAGCAGTCTTGTGAAAATATTAATATCTTATATTAATATCGTGATATGGCCGGATACATTAGAAAGGTCAATGCTGTTACAAATTTTTGTGGTCTTATCACCTTGTCCTATTATATGATTTTTTTATTGTTATTTCTTTCTTTTTAACGTTTTTGAGAAAAAAAAAATTTGAGATTAAAGCGAGTTGGCAACGCCCAAAACCGCCCTTGAAAAATATATTTTAAAAAATGTTTATTCAATATTGATTTTCCCGGTTTTCGTTTTAAATCAAATTTTATAACCCCACCTTCCATTATATACAAATATAATATTATATAGGGAAAGAAACAAAAAACTTGCGGAACAGAGTGCTGCCATTGTTTGTCTAAGAACGCTTGGAATCGACGATGGAAGGATGGCGCCAATAGACAGAAAAGTTCCGTCTCAGAGTACAACTCGTCCGAAGTTTGTGAAGTTATCATCAACTACGTAATGGAGAAACCTTGATTCCGAACATCTATGTTGAATATTCACCTTGTCATCTCTCGAATACAAAAGGAAAAAAGAAATATTTGGCGCGTCTGTTTTCTTCCAGACAAATGCGCTGCCCTAATGATATTTTTTTGTTTCCCCTGATATTTCTGATTATTGTATGTGCAGTTTCACCTGCTGCGTTTCGAGTTGCTTCAATTATCATTTGAAGTTTGAATATTTTCGTCTCTGCAACCTCATTTAGTATGAATTAATGCAGACAAATGAAACTAATAGTAGACACGCATCTTCTGAATAAAACATTTTTGTAATTTAAGTTGTATGGTATTTCGGGACAAAGATTGGATGTTTGTAATATTTTATGGGAATTGGACGGAAGTAAGTTCTTGAAGAGTTTCATCTGTGTGTTATATTTTGAAATCGTTTGCTTAGTTTTGAAGAAAGCATCCTACTTTATGTTATAAGAAAGAAATAAAGATCATTGGTACTGGGGTTATCCGGTAGCGGCGATTTCGGACCGATGACGCTAAATCCCTGCCTATGCGACGCGTAAAAAAGCTGGTCCGCATAACACCATCGTGAGTGATTGCACATCTGCGACATTGAAGCAAGTTCTGGTCGGCAAATATTTCGAAAGAGGAAATTATTTGTGCAGAGACAAAAATGTGTTGAATTCTCTTCCTGGAAGGGGTGATTGGCATTCTCGAGATGCCATGCGTTAACGATCTATAATCTCTCGCCAGGAAAGAATGCTGCCTGAATAATTTCAACCAAGTCTTTAAAAAAGCATTCTGTAATTCGTGTCTAATTTTCTAGACGCAATTATGGCGACCCCGCAGCTGACGGCGTCGAGATGAGACTTGAGATAAGGAGATTGCTTCAGACTATTAATAAAATAATGGCTCAATAATCGCGTCAATTTTCTTCCATTCGACAGTCCGGATCAAATTACGACCAATGAAGATGGATAATTTGTGACGGAAATATTTTTTATTAGGACTCAATATGATCTTTTATAATATTTTATTGAGTATTCAGCTACTGGGCAGATCCGGGCGTAAACAATGCATCGCCTGACAGATAAAATTACCGCAGTTTGGACGCAGTTTTTTCAAATGGCCTTTTTGCAAAATGTGAATTGCAATTCAGAACCTTTTTATCTATTGTGCTTTTCTCATATTGAAGTTCAACGAAACAATTTGACTAAAAGCTATTTATTACTTCAACATAAATGACTAAGGCTTTTTCATGTTAAATAGACTGATTCGAAACTTCTCTCTTCCGACAAGTCTCCATCCATCACGTTTATTTTACTGCCATTTATGTAAATCTGAAAATTTTCATTGTTATTCATATGATAAATTAAAATGGATGCAAGTTGTAGATCAGTACGTGCAGAACCTACTATCAAATCATTTTTTTAAGAACTTCAATACTTTGGAACATTGTCAGAAGCTAGGTTATCTGCTTTATTTTTTTCTGGTTTCAATTTCCAAGGTTGGATTGGTTTTGTGGAATAACCAATAAGTTTCATGTCATGGAATTAGTCTAAATCTGGCATCTGTACCAAATATTTATAAATATTTTTGTTTCAGCATAAGATAAGGAAACTATTCAGGTCAAATGAGTTCAATTTCCTCCATTTTCTGTCCAGTTTAATCTATTTATTTTTTTTGTAATGTTCTGATACCATTATAAGAAACTGTATATATGAACAGAAATAGACTTTCATACTCCAAGAGGACCACCACCACGATGCAGTATGAATACAAAGAATGCACTTATTTGAATATGTTCGAATATACAAAGATGTTTCTACATATAAGAGATGAATCATAATGATGTTTCTAAATGTATTTTCTATTACAAAAATTAAATTGTGGCTTAAATTTAGTCTGACACAGCGATTGTGGCATATTGGCGCCATTTTGTTTCATGTGTTGTCAGTGGTGCGTAACCGTTACAGCTGTGTTCAAAAAAGCGCCAGTTTGTTTTAACAGAATATGTCATCTACTGTACTTGGTGTTTGCTGAAACGCTTTTTATATGTCCAACAGGAACAGACTTTTGGAGAAGAGGTTTGCATAACCAACAGACTTGTAGTACGGTGGTGATTGGAGGTAATTACTTATATGTTCCGGATCCGCATAGATATACAGTATAACTTGTATATAATATACTTACAGCACACACATGTCACTAGGGTAAAGTACATAAGTTACGTTATGAGTAACAGTTTGTAAGTAAAACTATGCCACTAGTAACACTAGCATGAAGGCCTACCTAAAATATATTTAAACTCAAAAGAAAAAATGAAATTTAGCTTACCGAAAAGGACTAATTTCACGATTTAGTTCATCTAAACTGCAAGTTTATGAGATAACTTCGTTGTAAGAGCGTTATTTAACAAAATCGTGGGTCATCAATGTGTCACATTAATTCTGGCTTAAACTGAAATTTTGGATACTTCCGTAGTATGTGTACCAGGTTAGAGGGTTAGGCCATAATTTTAGTCCGATTTTCCCTATTTTAGTTCTATTACGAGTTCGGGGACTGTCTGTGTTAGCCAAATGAATATCTCGCCTGTCCATAGGTTTCAGTCCCTTTACACAACTTGATGTAAAATAGGCTAACAAAATTAGTTACCCGCACATACTTCTGGAGCGCCAAATTTTGTATGTTCAACACAGTCTAAATTCTAACTCGATTCTCTGTTGAATATCCCCACCCGCATATCATTTACATACATTTAAGTTTGTTTATCGTTTGCTACACGATAAATTTATATGAAAATAAACAGAGGTAACAGGATCGCGTCTTCCAGACGTTTTCACACATATTTTCTCAGTAATTACATGGACTACATTATTTTATTATAATTTGCTTAATTTGGCATTGTTGGCGATAGAAGTTTGAAATTGGGCTACACATAGTTTACATCGGTGATCTAAAGTATATACCCTTTGTTTTGCGACCGACAAAAAGAAATGAAGTTTATTTAATACCTGCTAGCATCTGAACATTCCTCACTGATAAAAGTTGTCAATTGCACACATTTTAAAAAAACAAGTATAATTTTTCATTGTTTTGTAATCAACGTCGACACTCACGTCATCCTGTCAAGCAGTGAAATTTATTTTTCACTCTCGTAAAAGTGAATTCCCAATTGTTTTATGGTTGTTGAAAATGGCACCGCGACGGTGACGAATTTTTCCAGGATGACCATTTTTCAGTCGGTAATGAATAATTTAAAAACTCATTCCATCCGGATTAATTTTAATTCATTAGGCTTCGGTTTTATCCCCGGTAAAACGGTTTCGGTGTTTTAACAGAAAGGAAAAATGAATCGCCTAATGTAGGAGATTATAAAGTAACTTTCATTTCAAGTCATTCAAAATTGGTCTAATAAAAATCCCTCAAACTAATTTCTTGAAAATAATAAAATTGCAATAAAGATCGGCTTATGAGCTGTGGAACTGTTTCCATAAAGGTTAAGGCGATTTTACGACTTAGTCTGTTTGGCGCAAAACACCTAAAAGGTCGTTTTTGATTATAGATAGTCGCAAAACGTGATCGTATGCGGCGGTGAAGCTGACAAGTCAACGCATTTTTTAGCATTGTTTTCTGTTATGCGACAAAAATACAATCCCACATGATGACGCGGATCATACATATAGACTGTTTTTCAAGATTAGCTCAATTAAGCGGTTGATACTAAACACAAAGCCAAATACAACCAAAAGCAGAGTCTCAGACGAGAATAATCGACAAGGAAAAGTGTTGACAAAGACCACATACAATTTTGTAGTTTTCAATTGGATCTAATAACTAGTTAGCAACAAATACTTTTTCCGAATTTCATTGTACTTTCTACCATACTAATATTCGGAATATTAATAACACCAACTTTCATTTTATTCAGTTCTTGTGAAAATATTTTCTCCTATATACGATATACAAATAAAGCAGAAATGATAGAAAACGTGCCTTTCGTTTCAATGTTGTTTTAGTGTCTGAGATTCATATATTTCCTTTCCATAGAGATTAATAAAGCCCGCTAAAAACAATCAACAATCGATTGCATACGTATTTGCGAATAAAATATTGCAGATTGTTGATATATATTAGCATGTATAATTGTATAGGCTACTTATAAAAGTGAATCCCCGCTTTTTCATTTGGTAATAGAGAGAGAGATGGAGTTAATTTTCCTCAAAATATGTGGAGCCAACTGGTTCAGAGTTTTGTATTCAGTTTTTTCTCAATTGATTAAAATGATAGATCAGAAGCAAAATGTATCACTTTTATTGCGTTAATTTGATTTTTTCCATCGGTTTTTACTACGCGAGAGGTCCGGAAACCTTGCGTTGATAAAATCAAATTAATGTTCCGGTGATTTAGCGTGAAATTATTTTTCTCTGGGCTGTCTTTTTAAGTACTTTTGACTTGTGATAGCGTGTCTGATTAGAGGTAAAACCTAAAATAAAAATGATAGTCTAAACAAGAGCAACTTTTTATTAGATTTTGTTTAATTTAAAAAAATGATATTCTTCAGTTCGGATGCTAATCAAGTTATAATTTATTGCAATAAAACTCACCTGATTTGTTTGATATTTCATCCCATCTTTATCATAAATGTAATTTTAATTATTTAACAAAATTGATATTATTAGTCTGTCTGTAGCATGTATAATATTTCAAATGGTTTCACTTGTTAAAATTCGGTGGTATTTTGTTAACAAGGGAGTTACTATATTGCTTGCCGATACTCAACTGATGGTCAAATCCTTAACATGTCTTGAACATTGTGACAACATTGATTGTTCTCTTTGGCTAATTCCGTTCTTTCATTTTTTTCGCTTCCTTTTATTAGCAGGTTGCTGCATACTATCTACATATTTTTCATTACGTTTTAAATATTAGCCACGTTGCGTTAGGGAAATATAAGAAAATTACTTGATATTATATTTTGCAACAACATGGGCGAATATACTCTTTTGTTGAAAATGAAAGTGTAAACAATAAGCGAATGTTAGAGTTTGGATGATGTTACTTTACTTTCTGTTTTGAAGTTTTAATAAGTTTTTATTAATTCTTGTGATCGTTTTCTCCAACTGACATATAAGTTCTGAAAATATCTCTCACCAGAAAAATTTCTGGAAAAGTTGTTCATTTTACCTCTTGATCTGCTATGAGTTTAATAAAACAACCTTTGTCATATGTGCAAGTTATCCAGTGAACCTATTAATTTTAATCATATATATACGAAAAGTATTAAATACCGAAACTCGTAGGTTATCACAAGTCAATCTCGGTTGACTGCGATTGAGATTGACGCTAACGCGTTGCTATGTTTTCAAAACATGACTTGAACCGAAGAGTACAATGAAGTTATTAATAAATAAATGGCGAAATTAAAGCAGAATAAATTCTAATCAAATTAACAATATCTTGTAGTATACACTCGGTATTCTTTCAACTGTTTGCAAGATATAGTAAAGTAAAAATGTAGCGGTAACAAAATTGGATTCACAAATACATTCGTCATTTCAGGTTTCAATGTATAATTTTTGTATGTATATTTGATGCAATGACTGGAATTGATGACATGAATTTAAAAATGTATGTGGTAATTTTTTTCACAGTGTCGTCTCTTACGGCGTTCATCATGTAAATGTTTTTCAAAGATAGATTGCAATATATAGCACAATTGTTAAGTTTACTTATTTATTTAGGGAATGCCTACATATAATTTATCCTGGCGCAGAACAAACCACTGATCATTAATCTAATAACTGCTATAAACTTTGCTATATACATATTTATAATGAATGTCAAAAAGTGTCACATACTTTGTCAGATATGTCACAGAAGTTTAGAATACATACGGATCATTTTTAAGTTTTAGTTGATATGTTTATTTTACAATAATAGGCTGAATTTTAAAAGACGTATTTAACTATTGTTTGTGCAGCTTATATGATCTGCACAAATATGCCGGAACCAGATTTGTTAAGAGATGTCGCGAGCAAGATCTACCAAACAAATTAATCCGCGTGCTAATTCGATACCAAATTTAGAAACTTGAGGAAGATTGTAACAAAAATAGTCAAATTAGGACGATGAAATTCTGAATCAAATATAAGCTTTAAATAAATCAAAAAGTAGGTTATGCTTTCCAGAATAAATCGTAAATAGCCTGCGGAATTCATTATACATTTGAAAAAGAAGTGTGTGCACTGTAACAACTTTGACAAAACTTCATGGTGACTAACTTGAGCGACTCATATAAAATTCTGCACAAGCAACTAGAAAGAGATAAAATCGATTTAATTGTTACGGCATCAAAATATTATGTAGATAGAAAAATATAAAATGAATTTTAAAAGGCCTAGTTTTGTTTTACTTCATTTTCGTGGCTGTTTAACTATTTATTAGACAAAGAGATATATATATCAAGTTATAATTAATCTTATTTAAAACAAGTATAAATATTTGACAAATTTTATACTTATTTGCAAAGCATCAATGTGGGCTCTTCAGTAAATACTTTATATTTTTACTAACTTAACAACATTATCCAGTTAGAAATTCGTAAGAAAATATATATGCCCAATAATAAGTAAATTGAATTGGGTCTATCGATCATTTCCAAAATTGTTATTGTTTTTTGGATATAAAATTGCTTTCAATTACTGAACTAATAGCTTTCAATTTCTTAGTATTGATAGGTGAAAATACCGCCCTTAAGACACCTTTTTTTCAATATCTTTCTGGTGAGTCGGCTTCAACAAAACCTTATTTTGAAAAATTGCACTACCTTGTGGTGATTTGATTTTCGTGACCTTCCCGCGTTTGTGCATTTCTCTTTGCAATATGAAATTTGCAAACTTATTTTATATTTCTATAAAAATAAATAAATACGAATCTCTGAAATTTCTCCCTTATACGTTGTTTCTCACTCATTTTAACCAATGTAATGAAGACACCTTTGTGCTCAGTAGGAAATTTATTATTCTCGATTTAACACTCAAAGTAAACAAATATAAATCAAAAGGCAGTACGGTAGGTAAACGATATTTTTAAAACTGATATCGACAGAGTGAGGCACCACAATAAGCGGTGAGAAACTTTGAAACTTAAAATAAATTCAGGCACCATGAAAGTTTTGTAATGGTATTGTTATCGGAACGAAATGGCGCTTTATTCATGATGGGTTTCTTGATGGTTTATTCATTGAAAATCTTTTTACTATTTTCAACAATGCAAAATGAAAACATAAATTCTATCTTCAATTTGTTAATATAAAATCTACAAGATTCCGAGGAATACCGTTATTACACAAGAAGTTTTAAATATTACTCATTTTGTAACAGTCATTTTACAAACTATCTTAGATATATATGTGTATTGTGTTTTATGCCAAAAATAGGCTGATATTGCAGTCGACTACAATCATTATCAGAACAGTTAAAACAAATCAAATTGAATATTTTGTAGTAGATATGTTTAGCTTCAAATGAATTTTTAAGATTTGGTTTGGAATGCTTCAAGATACAATAAAAGCAATGATGTTGACTCTGGGTAGTTGTAGGCAATTCTTCAATCGACTCACCACAGACAATTAAAGAAGAGCAATTGCACTAAAATAATTGGTAAATAGAAAATATAAACATAAGAAAATAAGGAAAAGAATAATCTTAAAAAGCCAAATTATATCTTCGGCTTGGTTATGTCAAGCGTTATAATTGTTAGTTATTCTTGTTAAGGTATAACTCTATCTGCACAGCAGCATTCTAGATGGCGCTAAACATCATCTCGAGAAACAGACCACTTCCATTTATTTGAAAAGACTTTGCAAAAATTACAATTCTTATGATTTAGCTGTGAATACCTTGTTGATAGAAATCAAGAATACCGCGTTTAATTTTACGCAGATGATAGCGCCATGCGTCAGTGTTTTGGTCAATGTAATAATAGCTTGCTTATGTTAAACGGAGAAAATTCAGCTCTTGGTGGACATTTGTGAATCGCCGCCGATTCCCATGTAAATCTTTGCGCGAAGTTATAAACAAAATGTCTAAATGAAGCGCAAAAGCTCGGTCATTCTGGCATGTATTTTTAAAAGCACAAATTATTCTCTATGCCATCTCGGCTTCAACCATGTCTCTGAGAGGATTCACTTGATTTGAACAGACCATCACCAAGCTTTATCCTGAGCTTGTCCTGATAACGTTGCTTTCTGTAGAATTGAAACAACGGCTTTTTTGCAGCGGCTTTGAACCTTTTTACATTGCGCACGTCTTGGTGTCATAGTAACCAGTGGCATAGCCGGCGGCTGACAGTGGCGGTGTGATGGCGGGATATGGAGGTTTCCTGTCTGACATAGCGTACTGGTCAAATTCAGTCTTAAATTTCATGCCTTGTGCCGCTGAAATACAAATAAAAAGATAATATTAATATTTCGTTAGACATATTAATTTTTTTCTAATAAACATCAAAGTAATAATCAAAAGTTGTTACAGAAGAAAACTCGCAAATAAATCTTTATAATTTTGTACCTGTCTATTAACAAATTCAACCGGATATTTATATGTAAACAGTTTGTCGTCATATTTTGTCATTTGGTCTAATTTATGTTATATTGTCACTAAAAATAATAGCATTCGAAAGTGCAATGTTATTTTAATGCCACAATGAGTAGATTTGTCAACTTAGCTCACGCGTTGACACTTGAGGTATATTTATAGGCATTCCCCAGTAACAATTGTTGAGCTAAATGTTATGAAATAAGGTATTTTTCATTAGTAGTTGCAATATACCGTGATCGAATAAAACTGCTTGTTTTAGGTATTATCAGTACTTGGCCAAATAAAAATTGTATTCGCAACAAGTGATTTCTTAACTCTAGTCATTTGAACCGAAATTGCTCTAATATGACGCCTGTTTCTCCTTATGAATACAACTGCATTGTGGACGGACTAACCATTAAATGATGGGAAGAATTGCGAAAATCTTGTTGCCATAATATAGTGCGACATTGGGAGACAGGTACCGTACAACTGGATATGTTGAGATGTAACGGCTTTGTTGAGATCCGACAAATAATCGGCTTATATTGGCTGCGTTAAGGAAACTTTGTTTTGTACATGCGTTATTCGTAGCACTTTAGTTTTATTTGAAATTACGTTGGTGACTTGAAGGACAGCGGTTAAAGAGTACGTGTTGCTTTTATACGACAATGAAAATGTTATGACGTATATGGGTTGTTGTAATTTCAGTGAAAATAGGTAGAAAGTAAAGCAGATTTGCGACTCATCTATGTCATTCGCAGTCTTTAAAATCCCTCAAACAAAATGAATGAAGTTTCTTTGTCAAATTCGGCGAAAACAAAAATTATATTGTACTTTTAATCACGAAATTTATTCCTGTGTATTTTGCCCACAATCGTTGTCATAACAACCATAACAAAAACACCTAATGCTTTGTTGTCACTCAAATTAATTGTACAGTAGATTGGGTTCTTGATCTTGTGTAAAAATCCTCATATCGAAAACAATGCAAGATTAGAATTCTTCTTTGGCTAATGTCGTTTTTTAATATACAAACCAAACACCAGGAGTGAACAGAGCGGGATAAATTTTTAGGAACCCATGAATTGATCAGATTTCAACACACTTTCTCAAGCAATCAATTTTTACCACTAGAATCAAGTACCACACACGAGCATTTTTGACCTGCTATTTCAATAACAGGGTTTAGTTTTAATCTCAGTGAACAGTAACTGGTAAAATTTCCCATATAATAAGTCAAAGGCTTTTATTTCAGGGGTGGCCCGTTTTAGGCAAAATTTTGAGCTACCAGTTAAGCCTTTAACTGTGGGCTTAATCAAATCTTTTGGGGCACTAAGATCAAATCGTCTACAACACCCTAAAAACGTCTATTCTAGATGATATTTCACCAAAAGCTTATATACGGATATGACGCTCCCCAAAAAGTCCTACATTACGCAGGATTAAAGAATTATATTGTTACGACGACGTAGTATGACTTCATTCAGACTGACCACTCTTTCAGTATCGCTTTCAAAAAACTTGGTAAATATACTAGCATTTGCCTACAACAAAGAACAAACTTAATTGGCGAAAATTACATTGCTAGTGTATATTTACTGAACTTAAAGATTACGTTTTAGAAAATATTTAAATATTTTGTGTCTATATGTTACAATATGTTTAATTGACCTGGAAAATTTCTGCGCTTTCAAACCGGCGCTTTTGAAGTGTCGACAAAGTATTTTGCCTGGCTATTTTATCATTAATTTGGGGAACATTCCAATTGATGAAAATATGAATGGACATATTTCGGACAGAACCTAATCCTTATTTTAAGTTCGATATACGTTGTGAAAATATGAGTCAAATTTGCTTATCACTTCTTGACGAAAACAAAACAAACATGTTCACTAAATTCAAGAATGGAATAAGGTTATTCTATATATACAATAAATTTCATGTTAAGAAAATTATACGAAACTGAATTGTAAAATATTTGCGATGTGTTTAGGTCTCACTGATAATTATCATAAAATATACCGATTGTTTGAATAAAAAGTTGTTCAATGAGTAAATATCTAAATGTTTTTATTTTATTTGAGTTGCTCACACAGTTATTTGCTCAATATATATGTATATATATTTTATATCCTCAATTTTTCTTCTCATACCATTCATTTTCAATGATCTTTAACTCAGTAATTTCGGCGCCGTATATAAGCTACGTAAGCACTTTACCCCCGCACCACAAGGATTCGGGGGCTACAAAAACATTTCATGGGTATTTGAGCAATAAACCCTCATGGATCAGAATTGAAATCACTAACAAGCATAGGAGCGTAGCATTGGGGTTTCGTCATTGGTGGGCTCCACACAGTCGTTCGTTATTTTCCTCACAATATGCTAATGAAAAGCACATGTTTGATATGATTGATTCAAATATATAAATATTTCATATTACTAATTTATTTAAGTGATACTATATACGTTTACTGGTCTCAGACCGGAAAGGCGACAGAAGATGCAATTAATTCAGATACTGATTGATTTGATAATTATACTTATCAACAAATATAAGTTCAAAAACATCACAAAATATTGTGCGTCAATATTTTGTAACAAACGGAATAACAAGTGTAATAATTTCAGACCATATGTGTGAGATAATTTTGATAATTCACTTAAAGTGATGATAATTATTTAATATCCATAATTTGGAAATAATTGTTGCGTAAGTAAAATACATTTCAGGGTAATACTTCATTTTCCAAAGTACGCCTTAGAGTAGTCAATTTGTCAATGAACACAATATATGTGGAATGATACTGTATAAAAAATGATACCCAGTTTTCTAACATTATACAACCTTTGACCTATTAATGATCGGCCAAAATCAAAGACAAAAATGAAGAGGTATACTACACAACAAATACAAAATTAATCAGAAAATTAGTACTTCTCAATCCAGATACAAGTAGGTCGCGTGTATTTTAAACGTCTTAGCGACCAAGTTCAAAGTATACTCTGTTTCTAGTTATTTTAAAACACCGCTCGAATCAAAGGTTGTGAGATATAAAGCAGGATGATCCTTTTCAATCGGATCACGATAAAAATTGGGGAGTGAGGGAGACGTGCATAATTTCGGTACAATTGAACTACGCGCCCAAGCTCGTTTCTCCACCCGCGAGTCACGGCTACCACGAAAGTAAAGAGATTAGTAGGAATATACTCACGATAACCAGTAATTATCAAATTTACTAAACGATTGTTTATTCTGATTCAAGAGGTGTTGTCATTTGCGTGTATAATGCTGGAAAGATTTGGGTAATTTTGGAATGCCACGTACAAATAGGAAAATCTTTTGTTGAGAAGTTTGAAACTCAAGTGAAATTATGTACATCGAGTATCACAGCTATTTTACAACGATCTTCTCCATAATAGTATGATGTGCGATATACATGTTTTTGCATTCTAGGTCGCGCAACGAATTTTGAAACAATCTTTCGACAGCTTCCCGGAAATCTTATCGAAGTGGATTCTCTGTTAAACATCAACTTTAGTCGAGTTTTCGACACTTTCGCGTGCGCGAGCGCAGAAGAATCTGTTGCTATGGAATTTGTTTTCAAAATTAAGCATTTAAACATCACAATATGTCGTGTATATTTACTGTTGTTGTCAGCTAGGTACAAAATACTCAAATTTGCCCAAGGATTTTGTACCTATCTAACGATTAACTCAATTATTGACAAGTCTTCTAGATTACTGTAGCGGTTTCTGTTGTCAGCACCTCACCAAATTCAAGTATTGTCATGTATTTTATAGATTATCATTTAAATGAATCTATGTAGATCGAAAATTCCGGATAGATAAGGTCAAAGCGATGACAACAAAACGCCATGTACAGGGGTAGATAATGGAAATATCCTGGGCAGATGATGACAAAAAATTGTAAAATACAATCTGAATTGGAAAAAGGGTAATTTGTGTACTGTCGGGTAAGAATTTTCTTTGACTAGATTATGAATATATACAATTTTTTGTATCTATCAACTTCCATCAATTTATGTGTTGCATGGTTTTGTCATTTTAAAACTAGTCCATACTCAAATTATCGACAAAATAGTGTTATTTTTGAATAAAACTTTTAAAAATATTGTAATATCTGGGAAGAAGATAAAAAGATCTATTTTGGTTTGTTTTTCTCGTCAGCAGCGACATTCCACACAAAAATAGCAAGATTAGAATACGAGTTTACCACAACCCGTTTCTTTATGGTGACTTAACCAGGGCACACGAAAATTAAATAATTATTTTTTACCAAGCAAGTTGAACAAAGAGCTTTATAAACGCACTTTATGGGTGAAGCTTGACCAAAAATGTGTTTAGAAGCGGCCTAAACTAAACAGGAGGCAAAATGGGGCGTATATGCAAGAACATATGGACATATGTGTATGTCCACGCATAGTGTCCAGTTACCGCGGCACGCTTGTTTATTCAGCACCGGCCTACTGCTAGCAACCGACAGTTTTGTTTGTAAAATGATGCCAATACGTTTGGGATACTTTCTTTAATGCTGTTTACTTGAGTGTCCAATGCCCATATGTTGCTGAAATGAAATAAACAGCAAGCGTGGCAAAAAAATTCTCTTTCGCGGTGTGCAAACGTTTGCACATTCCTATCTATCCAATTCGGGCAAAACATGAGGTGTTGTCTCCTGATTACGGGAAATCGTGTAATTTTCGAACTAACTGTGCAATTACAGACTGATTTTATCCGAAAATATACTCAAATTTAACGAGCCCGGTTACGATTATTGCAGATTTTCATTAACCGGCGAAGAAAAATAAGATAGCTTAAAATAGCGCAAAATAACAAAATACCTAACGATTCGTTATATATATAGAAAATTCAAACACATCAATAAACAATTGGAGAAAGAGAGGATATGCAATTTTTCTACTACGCTAAAACGTCGTGGCTTCCATGACGACACTGATTATGCTTTTCTCCATTTAGAAATGGGGACATGGAAAAACTGTTCACAATCACTATCAATTTCGATGAAAGGCATTCGATTGTGGCACGGTTGCCTACTCGTATTCAGGTGGTCAATTTGGAAAACAGTTTTTTTGCTGATGCGTTGACTTGCCAAAATAAAATGGCGGATGTGGACGCAAAACGTCTGATATCGCTTGGCGTTGCGTTAAATATATCGTACTTTCCAGATATAGCTATTGTTTATTCTGGCTTTTGAAATGCAATAATGAGACGGTTGTGACAATTGGGTTACATGGAGAAAAGACTATAAAAATAACCTCGGTTGACGGTCAAAGATAATGCGACAAGGTAAAAATCTCGCTAAAACAGCAAATAACTGAGTTCTATAATTAGATAGGTATCGAAAACGTCCACAAATACGGGCTAAATTGCCCCGGGAAACACTGCCTTATTCATTTTGATCATTGATTTTTGCCATAGTGCCCACAAAACAAAATGAATAAGCGACCTCACATGCTAAGTATTTAGGATCTTGATAAGACTCTCCATCAACTAATTCATATTTTATTTGTCGCCGCGGGGCTTAATAAAAATTCTATCAGTTGTAGAATAAAAATGGTGATGTATTACTGGCTAAAATGCTTCAATTAGAGACGCAACCTCATCGGTTCATTTTTACCACATACGTTATCAAACAGCAAACAATAATCTCAACCGTGAATTTCACATAGTTCGAGTAAGAACTAACTCTCACTTATTTAAAGTGTATAAAAGTCAAATAAAGTTGAAATATTTACTCTGCTTTTATAAAAAGTTTATTTACGATAGCCTTTGAGTTCTTACAATTAGAACTTCTATAAATTATTTCCTACTAAGTTAAGTCGAAAACAATCCTGCGAAAGTTCATACGTCATAAACGACGTTGTTTTCGTGGTGATTGAGGGGTCACAGGTTGAAGCCAAACTCATTTATCGACATCTTATGATTTATTGCCGTATTTTCTAAGGATTCTCTGCGCGTTTTATTCCAATAATTAAGATTTTGAAAAACAATTCAATCAAATTGTCAAAGCCAAGTGAAATGAAGTAAATTTAATCTATGTAAAAATTCATCTTAAAAAAAATTGAAAAAAAATTCTTCCCATAGAAGGGTATCATGTTTTTATAGCGAATCGTGGTCATAATTTTCTAAATTTCTTCTTATTTTCAGTTAAAAATGTAGCATAAACTGGTACATATTCTCATCAGGCATCATTACTATAAATTCAGCTATTTTTTTAAAAGTTGAAGACAGCTTGTGTAGCAGGTGGCTTTCGCGTCACCTTGTCTGACGGTGATATTTGACATAAAGGCATTGCACTCAATTCCAATGAGGTTTGATACGATCTATCACTGGCGTTTATTGGGCATTTCTCTTCAATTATTTATCAAGAATAATATTGCCATAGAATTATAATAAGGGACTATCAAATAATGCCATATTGGAGGTTATTTTTAAAAGGCTGTCTGAAATGGCAAAGTTGATTTTTATGTCAAAAAATTACGATGAATCTATTTCACCATTTTATTAGTTGCGTACTGAGACATTTTAGATATAAAAATCCTTGGTTTGATTCCACTTCATTATATGCAGTCAGTTTTTAATTTTTATTTTATCCAATGTGCTTGTTGAATCGCAACTGAGACAGTAATTGAAAACAACACTGTTCTAACAATTCGCTATAATTACCTATTTATAAAAATACCTGGGGGTATCAAAACAAATTAGGAAGAAAATGTGTGAATTCTCTAATTTGTGGTAATTTTCAGGGTTAATGTTGCAAGGTAGCAACCCAAATAACTAAATGATTATTAAATTAGTTTTCTTCACACACACGTATGTGTCTTTTGCGGACGTAATTTACGAAATTCAATCCAATTTTCCACTCGCATATTGCTCATTATTAAAGTTGATATGCACGTTATTTGAAATTAACAAGTTTCAAATTTGATTCGTAATAATATTCATTTGTGACAACTCCCGATCACGCGCCAATTATCTTGCATTGTTATAATTAATTTCGACAAAATTAGCGATTTTATGGCCGTATTCTCATATAATTACCGCGTATGGTAAAGGGCAACTCTAATGCGACAGGCGACATTATTAAAATGCAGAACCGAAAATGCTGGCAACACCTCTATATCAAATTACATTGGGACAATTATTGTACGTATGAAATAAACTCGGCTAATAGTCACGAAAAATAAATATTAAGGTATTTCCAAAATTCCCAAAGTTTAGGCAAATTTGTTCCATTATGATTCGAGGTATTTCTTTGTAATTACGTCACGCCCGTGACAAAATTTAAAGTGAAAAAACTCATATGTCCGATTATTACTCATATCACGACAAATTTTTTGTGGCGAAAGATTAACAATTATTTAGACAAATTATATAATAACAGGTTAAGGTGACAAACTGAGAATTTAAAAAAATATTGAAACTCGACGAATTTTAAATTGCTTCATTTTTTAAAATAATGAGCCAACGGTTAGTGGGCTATCACGAGAAGAGTAGTATTTTAATAGGATCACCCAGTGAGACACTTATTGATACAAATAATTTTGACTGTTATGTTATCAAATCGTCATATTTAAGTGAAGATTTGGAAGTAACCTATTGATAACATGACAGTTGAATCCGTTGTTAAATTCAACCGCAGTGAATCATGTCCGGTTAAAAAGTTAACAATCTGATGAAAATTATGATGAAATGGAACGACAACATCTTTTGGGACAAAAGTGATGAAATTTGACGATAATTGAACAATACCAATTAAACTTCATCAAAAATATTATTATTAGTTATGATGCTATTAGGAATTCGGTGTTATCTGAATCATGTCTTTAATCCACGAAATATATTTTGAAATAATCTTGATATCTATTACCATACCGTCTTCAACTAACAGCATTTTACTCATTATAATATCATACATAGTGATCTTTCTATTGATTATATCATTATTGGGTTTTTTAGTAAGTCAAACTGGCAAATACGAACATAAGTGCATGAGCATAACAAAAATAAACTAAATTTAAATCCAGATGTTCGCGACTAAAAACAAATAAACAGAAGACAATATTCCGAAGATGAAATATCCACGCAGGCTTTCTTAATAGCAGATTAGGCTTCAAGTCAAGTATAAGTGACTACTAATATTTCCTGCGCATTTTAAAAACACTCGAAAATTTATGATAATAAAGAGACAATAACGGATTAAGAGATTGGGGGTAGGATAGCTATGGGTGCGACATTTGAATCAAGTTTGAATAAACAACCAGTTGGGAGCTAATAGGAAAATATGGAGTATATCATGCTTATTTCATCATTATTTTTACGCTGTTTATTTTTATTCTAATGCAAGTAAGGTTTTTGAATTTTTTCCGGTTTATATTTTGTATGCGATAAAAATACTTTAGTTTATCTTTTCCTGTCAAATGAAATTTCTATGCAAAAGTAATACTATAATAACATACCTTCATATGAAAGATGATTTTCTCGAGCAGAGGCATACAACGAATGATAGTCCATTCTTGATGCTGCAGATGGAACGCCGTTCATGAGGTGGGGAGATTGATGATCGGTTGGAGATCCTGCCGATGGCGGTCCATGTCGCATGTATCCTCCGGCAGCGTGACTTCCTGCGCCCGGCCAGTTAAACATAGAAGCTGAATAATGGTGGTTGTGTGCCGCGGCCATGCTGGCGGCTGCCGATGGTGAAATTTGCGAAGCACCAGTATTGGGACAAGTTGTGTAATGGGCATTCAAGGCTCCATTCGGGGAATGTGGAGTTGGTGGTAACTTCGGTGTGACTGAATGATTGGGGGATGTAGGGCTCGACATACCGTTTGAAGCGGCAGCCGCAGCAGCAGCGGCGGCCCCATTCAGAAAGTTCATTCCTTGTGGATCGAAGCCCATCAAATTAGCCTGGTGGCGAGGCGGAGGCATTGCTGAATGCTGAAGCGACGCTGCAGCACCAAACATTTCATGTGGAGGATAACCTTGTGGTCCCATAAGTCCAGGAGCACCGCCAAATATACCATATGGCTTCAATGCCTGACATTTGCGCCGAAATCCACGGGGTCTGCGTCTGAAAGATCCTTCTTCAAACATAAATTCACTAGCTGGATCAATAGTCCAGAAATGTCCTTTACCTGGTCGCCCCAGACCCTTTGGTAATTTGATAAAACATTCGTTCAGAGACAAATTATGTCTAACGGAATTTTTCCAACCTTGATACGAACCTCGGAAAAATTCAAATCGACTTTGTAGAAAATGATAAATTTCGCTCAGAGTAAGTTTTTTCGTTGTTGAGCTTTGTATCGCCATTACGATGAGAGCAATATAGGAATATGGTGGTTTTTCTGGTCTTCTATGAGCAGGATTTGCATTGGCTGTACCACCCTTCTTTGTTGCTACAGCAGCGCCACCGTCACTTCCATCTTCCTCAGTCGATGTTGATGTTTCAGATCCGTTCATGGATGCGTTAACAATTCCGTCGGTGTTTTGATCTTGCTCTGAGTTTAGTTTAGTACTGTTGTTATTGTTAATATTGCTGTCATCTGTTGTGTCCGATAAAGTATGTAGATTCCTTTCTGAAGTAGGGGATGGATGCTGATGTGCCATGGGGGGCTCTAAACTATTTTCATCATGATTATGGGGGCGCATTTGAGGCGATGAGCCCGGAGTTTCTCTGCTATTCGGTCTTGATGACATATCCAATCCAGGAGCCAAAGATGCAAGTTGTTGAGATGCAGAAACAGGATGTAGGGAACGAGAACGTTGTAAATGTTGGTGCTGTGCGTGTTGGTGATATTGCATGGCGTGGTGAGAATGCATCGGATCATGGGAGTGACTTAGTTGCAAAGGCTGATGATGAGCGACACCGGCATTTTGAGATCCTGGTGAAACTTGTTGATGCGGTAGTAAATGCCCACCCTGAAGATAACCATCTGGACTTGGTTGTAACATTCCGGGATGAGGAGGAATTGATAGCGAAAGGCGATGTTGCGATGTCGAAAGAGGAGAGTGGTGTTGCATCGGCCTCGCGAGTGACATTGGATGTGGACTGGTCAACAAATGTCCATCGCTTGAATTTGGACTCATGACGCTGACCGACGAATTTCGACAACTACTCGCCTCCATTCTAAGACGTTGTATTTATTCAACAAAGGCGTAAACTTCTCACGCAGAATCGAAAATATAATTGTGATAATATTTATAAATAGTATGTTGTCAGTGTATCGAACGGTTTGTAATTTTGTCTGTTACCCTTTGATTTGCATTTCAGAATATAAACAGATTCCAAAAAGATTACAATTATACCTGTTAAAAATATAATTTAATATAAGTTTCCCATAAAACGAGTAATCCGCATCAACAATTTATACATGGTAAGTAAAAACTGAAATATTACTTAATAAATAGAAACAAAACGTAATCAGAGGTTAAATGAATTAAGGATACGATAGGAAGCCGACCTAATAAACAGTTATAAATATTGAATGAACAAGATTTAGTTGAAAAACTAAAATTTCTTATTTGTCATATGTGTTTCTCCTCTTTTTACAATTCTACAAAGTCTTGAATCATCTCTTTTTCTGTAACCTGGCGATAATATATGCGAACGCACTCTTATCTTACATCAAATAATGTAAACTTGTAAAACGTGCTCGACTTACAACCGTAAATATTCAGTTCAAATGAACCGAACTAATTTTTCAAACTAAATTGCAATTCTGTGTTCTAGCTCATCTTTAGGATTTCTATATCCTAATAAATTGAAAACTCAATCACTTTGTTACAGCATAATGTTTCATAGCAAATTCATCAAGTCGGAAGAGAAAAATAAGCTGCTATTCTAACGACAACCCAGAGCGAGTCCTCGAAAGTTCTTAGCCGTAGACACAGGCGTACAACGCTTCTCGATCGAGAAAAAATGAAAGCGCTCGACTTCGCTACACAAAAAAGTTTTAGCAGGATCATTCGTTGCTCTCTAAATTATAGCTATTAACAATCGAACGCGCTTATTATATGCATGAGCGTCAAAATGCAAAATATCGAAGAAAGCTTTCTGCATCGAACCGGGATTCGCTATTCATTAAGTTTTTTTTTAATTTATCAAGTGGGAAGAAAACAACAAATGAAGACACACCTCAAACCAGTTAACATCAACAAAATTTGCTAAATGAAGCAGTTACGTTACTTGTTTCTATATATAAATAAACAATGTATCCTATCCGTTGTTATCGCGAAATATAATTTCAATATTAAATAAAATTTAGTTGCTATTTAAATGTAAACATTTCCACTAACGGTATATCGCATAAACAATTTCGCGGTAATGAAAATTAAGCTAAACACGTTGTTTCATTCACCATGATAGCACTACAAAAATAAATATAAAACTTTATGATGCCTTCAATCGTTGCGTTAAGCAAGTTCATAAACGGGTGATATAATTACCACGAAATTGTACGCTGTATGCAAAATCAGAGATTCGCGTTCGCCTGTAGAACAATTTGCTTGATTTTATTTCTTTCAACATTTCAGTAAACGGAATCTCACTATAGTCTGTTTTTCACTTATTCATTTGTTCTCGAAGTGAAAAACGCTACTTTATCCGTGGTTACATTTCAAATATGCCAAAACTAAAAGATACTGATAAAGATTTTTTATATCTTTCCAATACAAAATACGAAGATTTAGTTATACATTATTGAAAACCTGAGCTCTTATCGATGTTTTCGGCAACTTCCCTCAAGTTTGCAATACATGCATAGCTAACCACAACGAGGTTTAAGATAAAACAAATAGTATTCCTCAAGAGCTTCTGGGTTGGAATAATATTACGCCATTTTGTATTCAGATATTTTGCTGTTTCAAATTGTATTCCGGAATTGCACTACTATGTACTACACTACTACACTTTTAAACTTATGATACTTATATATAAAGTTATAGAACTTCAAACCGTTTATTCGGAAAATATGTGATAAATTTTTTAGACATTTTATCAAAGTGTGATGGAAAATATTTCAATTAGAATACTGCAACTTAAACTGAACTGGTGTTTACGATTCCGACCGTAGGTTGAACTTGATAATTTACTACAATCTTGCGTTGAGGAATGACTTGAACTGCACGTTTATTACCGAGTCTCGTAAATATCAAATTGAATTAATGTTTGAGGGTAAAAAATGCGGATATTCGCAAGAGTGAAATATCTTAGAGGTGTCTTTCATAATAACTATGCTGTGACCCATGAGTATATATATATGTACCCATGATTTATCCAAAATTGTTAATTACAAAAAGACAACGAATAGTGTTACATAATTTGTGATTAAATTTTATTCAACTTTGAAAATCCATATAATAATGTCAGCGAACTCCCAAGAGTAATGGAATGATGTTAACTGTTAATTCGACACATAACAAATTAATTTCAAGTTTAACCCAAAATATCAATCTGCCCTACCAGCCATGTTTGGGCATGAAGTCGACATATTCGAAATTGTGTTTTTAGTGTAAACAAATAGAAATATGTCTACTGGGTCCAAAGCGACATAGATTTTGATCTCCGATTTCTTCGACGGAAGAAAGGCATTTGACTTTACTAGGGAATGGTTTATTATTTATCATTCGCACAAACAATCAAAGTAGCGTTAAACAAATTACATCATATTGTAAGAATAAGGTGTATTAAATGAAGTCAAAATTATTTGAATACTGGTTTCTGTGCATTGAAAACTACAACTTATCAATGATGATAAGAATTATAATACAAAAGAAACCATTTTCAAATTGCGACACTTTTATTCCAAGAAGACGTGCGCAGACAGCTGCCGGTATGAAAAGTCGCCATTTTGTCTAAATCTTCCGGGAGGAAATTATCGACTCGGTCAATTATGTTGGACCTAATAATCATGTCTCACTCAAAACATGATATGCCATAACTATTTCATTCCATGTACAATTAAATAGAAATATTTTTACATGTTTATCAGTGATTTTAGTAAACAAATTTTCCGTGTGGGCTATATGGTATAGGTTGATACGCAAAACAATTGTAATTGAGAAGTTTATAAACTGTCTAGTATGTTGAGTTAAACGATTGTATTCCCTAATCGCCAGTTCCATACTGATAAGATCGAATCGTTGGTTAGGAAACAATAACTATTTTGCGATTAAATTTAATTGGTACCTCAACGACGCCTAAACACCCAGAGGTTTGGATTATGCCAGGTTTTTATCAGCGGCGATAATTAATACTAATTGGGATGTTTGTTCCAATTTACGAAAATATTTTTCCTAACGATTTCCGACGTCGGAACCTAATTTTTCGAGGTGCTAATGACAGTTAAAAAGGAAACTACAGTATCATCCTATCCGACTTATTGAGGATTGATTTTACCGAAATAACTTTCGAGATTTCCGATTTGATTTCGATAAAAAATATAAATGAGAGAAAAAATATCAAAAAGTAAGGAAACAAAAACTTTGATTCGGAAAGCAAGTTTTTATTTTGAATATAAAATTTTCCAAATAAAATAATGTAGTATTCAAATTTGTGTCATAATAAATTTACAATGTCCTTCGAATTTAGATGTAATTTTTGGACAAGAACCAAAACCCAAAACATTGTAACAAGCAACGGATAATTTGGCTGCTAGGAAAAAAGTTTAAAACCTTTTCTGGAATAGAATATTTTTTCATGGTTTTCAATCAACTTACTTGGATAATTTATTATACTAAATTATCGTGTAACAGTGCGAGCAACGTTTAGGATTTTTTTCCATAATCAAGTAAAAACTATAGAAAATTTGCAAAAATCTTCTGGGTTTGCTTTCTATCATAGGTATTTGCTGATGTTTAAGCATTCGAATGTGGTTCATTCATACGAATTTTTTACTCTGTGTTTCGATATACTCCGTGTTCGTAATACACATTTAAAATTTCTCATTCATCTTTTACAACACTTGTCCCCATTGCGCGTTGAATGGATGAGACCCGCGCATGTTTATCTGATGGTACGTTACGCGGGACTTATTAATATTTTAAACGAAAAACTCAATTGATGAGGACTTTTTCTCCGGATACACTTGAAAACAAATTTTCATATTTTCAAATAGGCTGTAAAATAACATACAAGCGTTTGTATGTTTGATCAAACTGTCTCTATGGTTGTAACTTATTGAATAAAATATTTTTAAATCAGTGATTGGTAGAAAATTATAAATTCTATATTTATACGATTTATGTTATATATCTCAAAATTTCTATAAACGTTTCATTATCTTATTCAAATTATAAATGTATATAATATTGTTGTTCAGAGAATAAAATTAACTTTTTGAATATTTGATTTTGATAACTTATAAGTAAGTTTAAATGAAATATTCAAATACAAAAGTTATTGTTTACCAATCGTGATATTTTTGTCATTGAACAACATTTTTTAAATAATCGCTGATCTGTTGCAGATGTGAGTTGTTTTTACATCGCGGTGCATACCAGTCCAGAATCAATGTCCGACTGGAATAAATATTTCAAAAATTCGTCCACATATTATTTTAGTTGGGCGATTTTTTTCTCGGTATGTATATATGACAGTGTACATGACCATAGATAGAACGGGCAATACATTCGATCTGTATTTATTGATTATATTCGGTCGGGATATTTCGCATCCCGCGCTTCAGCTACAAGATATAATTACTGTGAAATTTAGGACGTTTGACGTGCTTTTTAACAGCAAAGGCGTGACGTGTACCGATTGGGACGACTCGACGTCGGTAATGCGACCTGGTGAAGATAATCCCTATTGTTTATCATTATTCGAAATATATCGAGCGCCGGCGGCTTGTCGGGGTGGCCGGCCTGTCACTCTGCAATGATAAATTATCTGAATCCGTGACAAGGCTAATTGCTACATGCTTAAAGGTTTTCTATATAAAAAAATTGATTCAGGCAAAGGAAGTACCAGAAAACAATAATAGGTAAAGTCCAATTTTGGTGAAAAGACATAAAACAAGATATGAACTATATCGCCATCTTGCGGCTCAGTGATTTATATATACCGGATTTTGTCTCGGCGGTAATTTAAAATGCTGAATCTTTTGAAAAATATATACCTAACTTATACCATCTATTAAAATGAAAACTAGGTTGCAGTGTACATTTTTCTTGTTGCGTATGACAATGAAGGTGAAAATTGTGTGATTATTACTGGCTAATTGGATTTAGAAAAAAGAAAACCCGGATAATTGTTTTACTCTCGTCGGAGAAATTTGTTTGGATAAAGTCAATTTCTATTCACAGTTTGGAAAGTTTCAGT